CCCCCCCCCCCCCCTTAGTACAAGCTTCTCATTTGATTTTGTCATGTTAATTTAAACAATTTTTGTGTGGTTGGAATTTATTTTCAAATGAAAGTAACAATATTAACCACATTGCTTTCCTCTAGGAAATGTTAAGTTCAACTTGTGTTAGCCAAAGGGAATTGAGAGGTTTTATTTTGGGATGGAGAGAATACTTTTTATTGTCTGGTGAAATAATAATGTTTTGCTACTTCTATAATGCAATGTGATTCAGCTACCCAAAAGACTGTTGATGGTCCATCAATGAAGGACTGGAGAGGTGGAAGGGCTGCTTCTTTCAACATCATTCCCAGCAGCACTGGTGCTGCTAAGGTATTGCTGTATTATTATTGAACATGCTTATGTCTACGATTGAATACTCTTGATAATCTAAGCTACATTGTGTTTGTAACTTTTTTGTCATCCATCCATGAGTATTGTCTAGGCGGTTGGCAAAGTTTTGCCCGCACTAAATGGGAAGCTGACTGGCATGGCTTTCCGTGTCCCAACTGCTGATGTGTCTGTTGTTGACCTTACTGCAAGGCTTGAGAAAGGTGCCTCCTATGATGAAATCAAGAAGGCTATCAAGTAAGCATCATCTTTACTCACTCCTGTTTCCATCTTAAGTTTCACAGGGATTGTCTTTCAAATGTTTAACTGATTCTTTTTTTTTGTGTGTGTGCAATTCACAGGGAGGAATCAGAGGGTAGCTTGAAGGGTATTCTCGGCTACACTGAGGATGATGTGGTGTCTTCTGACTTCATTGGTGATAGCAGGTAGAAGATATGTGCATTAAATATAAAATGCTCCAAAGCTACCAAATTTGGTTACATTTAATATGTGTGAAATCACCATATTACCCTTATATTCATCAAGGATTATGTGGAGTAATTAGTAACCCATTTATTAATGCCAGGTCAAGCATATTCGATGCCAAGGCGGGCATTGCTTTGAATGACAACTATGTGAAGTTTGTCTCTTGGTATGACAATGAATGGGGTTACAGGTATGCATCGATATTTCTCTACTCGGAGTTACTTTTGTGTTCTTGAGAAGTGGGTTTAGTTAAACAGCCTCCATAACATTGGTTTGTTCTTGTTGCTTTGCAGTAACCGCGTTGTTGATTTGATTCGCCACATGGCCTCTGCCTGAGCTTTGGCTTGAAAAGCAGGAAGAGTGTCGAGCATTGTTTTTTTAAAAAAGATAATAATAAGAATTTGCTCTTTTTGATACTGTTTTGGTTCTGATGTTTTCTGGGCATTGTCTCTCTACTTAGCGTTCTGCTGTTGTGGTCTTGAAATTTTGTAGCTTTGGATTTTATGCTTGTCTACTTCAATCTAATGCATTTGGGGTCATGGAAGCTTGTGTCTTTTCTTCTCATCATGTGTATGTTTTTTTTCTCTTTTCTCGTGTTTTATTTATCCCGTTCTAAAAGGCTATGTTCGTTAACTTTTAATGGTACAAACACATTTCTTGCCATGGGTACAAATAATTGTTTTTTTTCCAACAAAATGTCGTGCCACACTCGCAATAAAAACTTGAAATACTAATTTTGTGACCTTAACAATATCTCGTGTCACTCTCTTTAAGAATGAAGCTAGCTGGTTTTGTAGGTATAGGCTTTCCTTGTAAGAATGAAGAACAAATGATTAAGGGAGGAAAGATTCCAATTATTCAAGAAACTCATCAAAGTAAAAGAAATTTAAGCCTTTTTGACCCTTCCAATTAAGAGAAGCTTCGAAGAGGAAGTCAAAGAATTCTACACTTCCAAATATATATGAAAAAAAAATATTTTGAAAATATTCTATTCAACAAATCTAATAAATTAATTTTGTATCAATGTCTAATATTATTTTTATTTAATTTAAGGTTAAAGTTTAACAACATTGATCAAAAAAAATCAAAAGTAGAAAAATACGAGCACGTAAGGAGTAATATAGTAATATTATGTACAAGAATTTTGTACACATCATTGTTAAGGACCATAGGTAAGTGCCGCACTTGCTTTGTTGCACACATATATAGAATGTGATGATCCAAAAAAACATAAACCGAGGAGAATATTTGTATATTGCTATGACCTTAATTTTGTAATATTTGTTACTCAAAATTGCCCTAACCAATTAATCAAACACCAGTCTTTTGCAAACCTCACAATTCATAGGACAATTATAATACTCCCTCCGTCCTATAATGATCTTTCCGGTTCGCAAAACGAAGAAAAATCTTAAATTTTTTCAATTTATTTTATTTAAATATTGGTATAGAAATAAAAAATAAAACATACATATTTAAAAACTACATCAAAAGTTCAACAAAACAAGTGGTGACAAGAATATTTTATTTTATCATATAGGCCATGAAAAAACACAAATAAATAAAAATTCCCGTGAAGTTGGAATAGTGCTCTGGGAAGATCATTATAGGACGGAGGGAGTAATTATTACTCCGTACCTAGTACTAAAAAAATATATCAATAAAAATTCACATCATACATTGATCAGAATCTTCATAGATTGCTTAGCAAACGAACAAAAAATAAGGCAGTGATAGTTGAAGCATTTAAGGTGTTTTACCAAACTTACAACTCGAATTATGATTTATGAGTGACGTCAATATCCGAACAGAAGAAAAAAAGATAATGTCTGAATTCGACTCCAGACGACAATGAAAGGCGATTCATGTGGCTTTAGGGATGACTTCATCTTTGTAGATTAAAGACTCTAGATTCCAAATTTTCAAACTTCAAATTTTAGTTAAAATTAAAATAGAGTCTATACTTTATTATACAACTTCCAAACTTCCCCATCAAAGTGCAAGCTCTACGAATGGATGGTTTTGTTTTATTACTACCTTTCAAAAAGAAATAGAATTTGTTTTATTGCTTTTATATAGTACACGAGAAGGTTATTTTATAAACCGTCTTTGCCGCTAAAAGAATATACTTTGTATGTTATCCCAAACACGGATTAGCTAATAAGTACTCGTAATAAATAATCAATAATCAATAAATTTTCTTGAAAATTTAAGGCCTTAATTAAGGTCATATGGTGCTACGTAGTATTTTAATTTTCTGAAATGTAAATATAAAATAAAAAATATTACGTTTTATTACATACTTAGGAATGTTTTTTTGGGATTAGTAAATGCCTGGCCTTTATTTAGTAATTCTTAACCAATCTTGTATATTACAGTTCAAAATTTGAAAAACATACCAAACATTCGTTACTTGCCAAGAATAAGCAGACATTTATTACAATACTAATATTAGATATTAATGTGTATTTCTATGTTAATTGATAACAGCCCATAGAAATTAACAAAACAAAAACAACAAAAAATAAATTTTTTTAGGAGAAAATCATGTTCATACTCCCAAAGGTATGACAATTTATACAGTAATTCAAGATTGCATAATTTATATTGGCACTCTCAAAAATTTAATATCTTTACAATTTTTTTGAGTGCTATGGACTCTATTACAAAGTTGTATCTGTACATACTATTCTCAATCTAATAGCACACAAAGACCCAATGTCCGTCTTCGTTGGGACTCGAACTTGGATGAACTTTCTCATGAATCGTAGGAAGTGAGAACTATTCGTTGGGACCCAAGTTCATATTATTACTCCCTCCGTCCTAAAACTTTCTTCCCAGAGCACTATTCCTACTTCACTTGAATTTATATTTATTTATGTTTTTTCATGGCCTATATGATAAAATAAAATATTCTTGTCACCACTTGTTTTGTTGAACTTTTGATGTACCAATATTTAAATAAAATAGATTGAAAAACTTGGGATTTTTCTTTGTTTTGCGCAACGAGGAAAAAATTTTAGGACGGAGAGAGTACTATAATACTAGAGAATTGCAAATTAATAACAGATATGCCTCAAAAGTCTTTGGTTCCATGTAAACTAATAATTTTCTTGAAGTGTTATTTTTAGGAATATTGGCATGAATATTTATTTTTTTATGCGTGAAATGAATTTTCACTAAAAATAGTAATTGCATTAATGATTTCATCCTAGTATCCAAAGATTCCTCCTATTATCTCTCTCCATTTCTTTATTTAAAGACTGAAAGGTGGTTTGGTTTGATTGTTCATTGTATATTCTTTTTTGCCAGTCTAATAAGGAACTGCAGCCATGGTGAGCCTCTTTATTCTGTTTTATTTCATTTCTGAGATTATTTTAAAGAATGTTTTCACAGTAATCTTTGTGTAATGTTCAAGATGTTAGATAGAACCCCAAATGTCAGATCATCATAATTGATGTACTATGAAAGCTAAATTTGACAAGATGTTTTTTTAAAACCATTTCAAGGGGGGAAAGAAGTAAAGAACTGATTTTCACAGCTCATGGTTATCAGCATTTTTTCACTAATCATTACTGTGTTTGTTTTTTAAAAATCTTAGCCTGAGAAGAGAAGGAATTGAAGAGGGATTTTTTTTTTTTTTGCATTTTTTCCCTTAACATTTCTGTGTTCTGAAATCATAGCCCAAAAGTAGAAAAGATTCAAGAATTGAAACCCAGATCTTCTCTCTTCTTGCCTACTCTGTGCCTTTTTTTACACTGCTCTTCTCCTTCTCTGTGTTCATACACTATCTGTGCTATGTTTCTTGAAACCTGAACAAGAAGATGGACATCTATGGTTTATGTGAGTTTGGCTGAAGTTGTGGGGTGTGTGATTTGAACCATGCAGGGTGATGAAGAAAGGTCAAAAAGGGACAGTGATGTGGATCGATGGCTTCCGATTACTTCGGCCAGAAACGCGAAATGGTGGTACAGTGCATTCCACAACGTCACCGCTATGGTTGGAGCTGGTGTCCTTAGTCTACCGTATGCCATGGCACGCCTAGGATGGTACATACCCCCCCTAAAAACCAAATGAATACATACATTATATGTGTGTGTGTGTCTGTATAATTGTTATGAGAAAACCTTTAACTAATAGTGTGCATGTATGTAATGTATGGTGGCATCAGGGGACCAGGTGTGGCTGTGTTGATCACATCATGGGTTGTCACACTATACACTCTATGGCAAATGGTAGAAATGCATGAGATGGTACCTGGGAAGCGTTTTGACAGATACCACGAGCTTGGGCAGCAAGCCTTTGGAGAAAAGTTGGGCCTTTGGATTGTGGTACCCCAGCAGCTGGTGGTTGAAGTGGGAGTGGACATTGTCTACATGGTGACAGGGGGAAAATCACTCAAGAAAGTTCATGACTTGCTCTGTGAAGACTGCAAAGACATGAAGCTCTCTTACTTCATTATGATCTTTGCCTCTGTCCACTTCGTGCTTGCTCACCTCCCCAACTTCAACTCCATTTCTGTTGTGTCTTTAGCTGCAGCCGCCATGTCATTAAGGTAATAACAGATATAAAACAACTAAACAAGGGTATGTTTAGATCCAAGAAAATGTTTTTTTTGAGTGGGGTGGATGCAGTTGAAATTTGACTTTATTTTGGAAAATGCAAAAAATATGAGATATAAAAATGTTTTTTAAATGTTTCCACTGGATCAAACCCAGTATAATCCCCCATCTCCGAAACCCCTTGGTGCATTGCTGCTTTTACTGATATTACTCGGAATTACTCCCCTAAACTTCATATGAAGTGAGAAGGAAGGGAAGTTTAATGTGCCTGTTTTGATTTAATAGAAATAAACAGGAAAATGAGTTTGAGCATAAATTAAAAACTAATTTATCTTCCCAAGATTCTCTCTTTCCGAGTTTCCCTTGTATTTTCCTCTGTATTTTCTTTCCTATATAATAGAATTGCACAGAAAATGAGTTTGAGCATGTATCTAAAACAAGTTTATCTCCCAGAATTTCCCTTGTATTTTCCTCTGTATTTTCTTTCCTAGAAAGCTAGAGAAAGTCATTTTCTTGTGTTTGGTTGTACTTTGAAAATGCAAACGAAAATGAAAAATGAAAATAGTTTTTTAAAATTTTTACCCATGCGGAACTTTCTTAGTAGAAATCTAATAAAGTATGAGTTTGAGAAGATATCAAAATAAAATAATTAAGAATAACCAATGTTAAATTTTTCTCCACGTTTTATTTCCTTCCAAATTTCCCCTTAAATTTTCCTCTATGCTTGCTTTCCCAACATTTTCTGAGTTTCAAAATACACTCAACGAATGATATTATCAAAGAAAAATATGCAGAATGATACCTAACTGTGTTCACCCATGCATGCATATAGTTACTCTACTATTGCCTGGGCGTCTGCCACCAGCAAAGGCGTGCAACCAGATGTTAGTTATGCCTCTATAGCTTCCACCACATCAGGGTCGGTTTTAAACTTCTTTGGTGCCTTGGGAGACGTGGCCTTCGCATATGCGGGACACAATGTTGTGCTAGAGATTCAGGCCACTATCCCTTCGACCCCCGAGAGGCCTTCCAAGGGTCCTATGTGGAGGGGAGTTATTGTCGCGTACCTGGTCGTTGCTGTTTGCTACTTCCCGGTTGCTCTTATAGGGTACTGGATGTTTGGGAACACAGTGGAGGACAACATTCTCATCTCCCTTGAGAAACCTACTTGGCTCATAGCCATCGCTAACATGTTTGTTGTTGTTCATGTCATTGGTAGCTATCAGGTGGGAAGTTTTTTCTAATCTCCTTTGACAAAGAAAACTTGGATCCAAGGTTTTAAACTGGAAGCACTATCATTTGACTTGATTTTGTCTGTACAGATCTATGCAATGCCTGTTTTTGACATGATAGAGACAGTCCTTGTCAAGAAGCTGATGTTCAGGCCGAGTTGGTACCTGCGCTTCATTGTTAGGAACAGTTATGTGGGTAAGTCACTCAAATCTTAAAGTCTACCAGACTATCACTAACATACTAGCATATGATATTATGCAAAATAAATAAATAAATAAATAAGTAGAGGGAGCAATGAAAAAGAACAGAGTAAGGCCTACCATTTTGTGGTCTTTCCTCTTGTGTGAAGACAATGGTGGGAAATGGTGTGTTTATACTCTTCTTGTTCTCTCTTATATCAATCCATGATCTATCTATCTATCTATCGACCAAACAATACACAAAATCCACCCTATCCCACCCTTTTTCTTTCTTCCTTTTTTTGTCTTCTAAATTTCTCGTCAAACAAACAGGGGCTAAGAAGTCACTTTTGGATGGAGGGGTTTGGAGGGTTATGAAGGGAAGACTTTCATGGGCATACTCTATATCGCAATAGCTAAAATCCTTTTAAAAAACAAATAGAGTGATTCAAACGTTATATGATCCCCTATTATCTTACTCCATTTTTTTTATAAAAGTCTAAGGGGCTGTTTGGCAACTTCTGAATCGGTAAGTGCTGAACCAGTAAGAGGTCTGAACCATTAAGAGCTAGTATATTGCTTAACTATTCAGAGGCAAATGTCTGATCAATTCAGAAAAGAGGTCTTAACCAATCAGACTCTGTATAATACTTAACCATTCAGAGGCAAATCTCTTAACCATTCAGACATCTGAACCATTAAGAGGCTGAAACAAACAGTCTGAACCATTAAGTGCTGAACCATTCAGACATCTGAACCATTAAGAGGCTGAAACAAACAGCCCCTAAATGTATATCAAGAATATAGGCTTAAATCTTCAAAACCATCCATCCAAACTGACCCTAAGAGTACTCTTTCAGTAACTATAATAACCACTAAATTTGTTAACCGCTAGTTGGGCGTTTGGATGGGCCCTAGGGCACCTAATCAGGTGTATAGCCTGCTTACGAGTGCCAAATTGAGTGCCTAGCCTGTCTAGAGTTGAATTTCTTTAGGTGTGGCATTCAGAAAAGTGACAATAACACAATTCTATGATATTAATTGCAGCACTCACCATGCTCACTGCCATCTGCATCCCTTTCTTTGGAGGTCTTCTTGGATTCTTTAGAGGATTTGCTTTCGCCCCAACAACTTACTTCGTAAGCCAAAACAAATTTGCTCTTTCCACTTCCTCACACATATCACATATGCATGCCAAAACAGATCATTAACAGATCATCATCTCAATATTTGTAGCTCCCATGCATCATGTGGCTTATTATCTACAAACCAAAGAAATTCAGTCTTTCTTGGTTCATCAACTGGGTACGGATGCTATATTAGATCTATGAAACCATTTTTTTTCAAAAGTAGATTTACTTTTCCTTTGAGGCCAATCACATGGTCTGATTATGCCTGTGGTTTCAGATTTGCATTATACTTGGAGTAACTTTGATGATTTTGGCGCCTATTGGAGCACTAAGAAATATAGTGTTACAAGCGAAAAGCTACAAGTTCTTCTCCTGAACATCAAAACCTTGAGAGAAACTCAGCCAAGAAGCACCCAGAAGTGTTTCCAGAATTCCTATTATTTTCATTGTAAATTTTCCTATAATGCATATGCACTCAATTCTAGTATAAGCACAGTATGGTTGTATTAATTGGATGATAACTGATAAGTCTGCATTATCAGTAGAAAAATACATATTAACATTATGCATCTACGCAAAGATACAGCACGAGTGTCCCAATAAGTCAATAACTCATTCTGAAAAACTGGCTTTACTTCAGGTTTGTAGTTTGGTCTAATCAATTTATACTGATAACTAAGAAAACAGTACTCAACAAAGTAATCATCATTCACTAATTGTCTCATGACTCATCAATGACCAATCTGAATAACATAGAGCATAGGATTGAGACATATAATATGGTTACTAAAAATAGGATATATATTCGTACTTAATAGCCAAGTTAACAAGAAAAGCCAACCATATAGTATATGGTGTCTAGGGCTGTAAACAGATCAAATCCTTATCTGATAGATCTCCATTCAATTTCGAATAAGATAATTGAACTAAAATGTTTTTAACACAGATTCCAATGTTTGGTTGGTAGTGAAATACAACTTATATTATTACAAATATAACATACCTGCATATGAGGCCAAAATCAAGTTAAACAACCCTGGTATACAAGAAATACAACAACAAGAACAACAGCACACTATAATTCCAACCCTGTTGGGGTCAAGATGTCTTGTGAAAAGAGAGGTTGTTTTCGTTAGACTTAGACCCTAAATGTGTTGCTGCATTTACTTCTCAAAGCTTCATAGATTGTAATGTGTTTGATTTAGTCCAGGTTTCTCCTGAACATCACAGCCTTGAGAGATGTGTTTGATTTAGTCCATTATGTGGCTGAAACTAACACATTGTTAATAATGACTCTTTTAGCTCCATAGTTATTTCCTACCACGTTCTTTACCACCATCTTCTGACTTCTTCATAAACCTCCGCCACAGAGTTGCTTTTGCAAACCAAGCTTAAGTTGAGATCAGGAGATGACAAAAAAAATTGGCAATGGATGGAAAACAAACCTAGTATTTCAAAAATAAAACAAACCCAGTATATCAAATTATATTTCAAGAGTAGGGTTTGGAGGGCAAGATGAACGTTGATCTCACCTCTACTGGAAGTAGTACCCGCGTGCTTTTATGCCCTATGTTTCTATGTACAAAATAAGTGTTTTTTGTTTGTTATTTTTCTATGTGTAGGTAAGTATATCAACTCATTCTCATTTCTTTCAACTAAAAGTACATATTGCTTTGGTGTATGATAATTAAAGTCTGTAGTATTTGCTCATCACTCATGGTAAACATTGAAGTGTGCTCCTTTGTTGCTGAAATCAAATGAATGAATTAAGAATTAACTATTTTTCATGTTGCTAAGTTGATATCCAAATTGGAATCAAATAGAGCCAAATCATGATTTGAGTTTGAATCCAATTTTAGGATTCGTATCCAAATACGACATCAAAATACAAATAAAAAATCCAATACGAATATATGACTGCTAGGTTCATTTACTACAGTTTTGTTTGATGACCCCATTAAATTATGGTATTCAAATTGACAGATCACTTCACCACTGTCTTTCAACGTTATAATTTACTGTCACTGGAGATATGTAACTCGAGTCCCATCAAAAAGCTTTAGATAATAATAAAAAACTAGTACGGAGCAAAAAAGTTCAGAATTTTTACTCAAATATGCAAATGTTTCTTTGTGTTTTTGTTAAGAAACAGGCAAATGTTTTCTTAATCAGAGTCTCACTGCCAATCTATAGAGGCCATTCCAACACAGCTCGTGAAATGGCCAGATCATTATTTAAGCATGAACTAATCAGATCCATCAAGATCCATAAGCATTTTGTATAAAGACATAATAATCCAACATTGAATGGGGTGTATCGTGATGATTATATACTTGAACCACAGCTCCACAATTACGTTACATTAGCTCACCCTATTAGTTATCCTTTCACAGTGCAGATAAATGATTAGAATACCCAAATCAAGATCACTATACAAAGACTAATTCAATCAGCATTCATCAAAATCACACCAATCAATAACACAGCAAAAAAGAGGAGAGTTAAAGTTGTGGTTGCTATAGATTATTCAAGAGGTCAAAGAACAAAACATGTGTGTGTGTGAAAAATAACAAAATTTCCATCAAGTTTGCTGGTAATGATACAAACAGAAAGAAAACAAGCTAAGAAATTCCATCCGTACTGTCCCTAACTAGATTTCTTGTCAAGTTTTTGACTCTTCTCCCTATACAACTCAACCCAAAGATTCGAAATCCACAAGATACTAACAGAAATGGCAGCAGACACTACAGCAATCCATGAAATCCACATCCATGGGGGAATCACACTGTCCGCATCCCCACTCAAGTATGAAACCAGCATTCTATAGAGAAACAACGGCCCGGCAAAACCCCTAACCACAGTATACAAAGCGTAAAACGGAGGGGAGAAGAATTCATACACTTTTGCAGCGAAGCTCAAATCTGACTTGAGGGCACCGGCAAGAGTCCACGTGTTCTGGCAGAAGCTTGTCAGCTCGGCAAGCACAAGCAGAACCAGAATGGCGTATGCTCCGTGGCCAGCCGCGAACCTGCACGTGAGGAACACGAACAGCGTGGCAAGATGGTGGGCGATGAAGAGAACATCGCCGGGGAAGAAAACCAGGTAGTGGCAGAGATCCATGAGGAAATAAGCGACGCTGTAATCAAGGACCAGCGATTGGAAAGGGGTGTTCCTAGAATGGAAGCTTCTGGAGGCGTCGGAGAGTATGGCGGCGGTGGCCAGGAAGACCGCCGGAGTGCCGTGGGAGAAGGAGATGGCGCAGCTGGCAGCTTCAGGTCGGAGGCTGGATTTGAAATGGCGGAAGATGAAGAAGTAAGCAATAAGATAGATGATCAAATACGAGATGAAGAAGGTCAGGAGATTGGGAATGGAAGGGATCAGAGCTAGGGTTTCCATAGCTGAAAATACGAATATTTTGATTTGATCAATAACTAAATTAACTGAAAAAGCCCACAAATGAAACTACAGTTTTTCGGAGAAGAATCAGACTCCCTATCAACACCGTTCGTTTCACGTGTATATATAGTGGGGATGACGACGACGGCGCGGCGCCGCCCTGGTAACGGCGGAGCAATTTCGCTCCGGTTTAAAGAAGTGTTCTTTTTTCTTCGTCTTTTTTGAGCAGGAAAATGATATAGCGTACTCCGTACGGAGCAATTGTTCATAAAAGTTGTTTGAAAACCATTAGTATTTTCGAGAATATCCTCTTTTTTTGTTAGGGAAGAAAATATACCCATTTACTAAACTTTCCTCAAAAAGAAAAAACTCTTTACTAAAATAATATTTCTATATTTCTATTGTTCCAAAAAGATATTCTTATTTTGACTTTTACAAAATTTAAGAAAGAAAATTTTTGATGTGATAGATAAATTATGAATAAAAAAATATACGGAGTAATACGATAGATAGAATAAAAATTAGCAGAGATAAAAGTATTTTTTTAACAATAAGAGAATAACTTTGTGGGATACCAAAATAAAGAAAGGAGTTTATAGAACGGAGAAAGTAAATCTTTTATTTGGACGGTAATTTTTTTTGTTCAACATCTTTCACATTTATTATTATTAGTATTATTATTATTATATTATTATTATTATATTATTATTATTATTATTATATTATTATTATTATTATATTATTATTATTATTATATTATTATTATTATATTATTATTATTATTATTAATTTTAAAATGTTTGGTAATACAGTAGCTAAATACTGTTCTTAAATATTTTTCAAAATACTAACACTAAAGACAAAAAGTAGGTACCAATAAAATCACGAAAAAATATAGACGGAGTATAATTTGATCGATACTAAAAGAGAGAAAAAGAGAGGAAAACGATCACTCAAACATTAGAGTATGGACTTTGGCAAATTATTTGATTCATAATGGATCATTGGATCTCATATAAGCCAAATAAAGATTTACTATTTATTAATATAATTAATATTTAATTTTTTAAATAAATTAAATAATAGAAATCGTAGAAGAAAGGTCTATCTCAAACTTGTACAACTTTTCTTGGACTTGACGTGTAGCATTGGACATTTTGTATTCGGGATGTTTTGAATAAAATTATAAAATCAAATTTTCAATTATTTCTTCCTATTATGATGATAAGATAAATTACGATTTGGACTTATCCATTATTACAAGATTGGGATAGAGATTAGAGAGAGTGGAACAATAGGTCAATCAATTAGTCTTAGGTTATTGTAAATATGTAGGGTTATGCTAAGGTGCTCTTAAATGATTGCTATTAAGGGTGCACTTATGCTTCACATAAATGACATAAATGATAATCATTTGTGCGACACAAATGATAATCATAAATGTGAAGCATGAGCGCACCCCTGATAACAACTATTTGAGGGTATCCTTGTATAAATCTCAACCATAAATTTATTTTTTAATTTTATAAGAAGTGTAGGCTCTATTTAGTATTATCTTTAACGTTTAGCTTTGCCGTTTTCAGAATGTTATCAAACAATAGTTGTTAGTGTTTCCAGAAGTAATATGCACAATAAATGAATGATTACTCAATAGGAAAAGTCATTTAACACAATAGGAAAAGCTTAATTAGCCAAATTAGCATCCAAAAAAAGTGATTATATTGTTGACTTCACACTTTGGAGTACACATTAGTTCACATGCATGATGCAATAATGCATTATTACATATTTATAAACCATATATTTAGTTCCTAGAATCGGTTGGCTAGCCTTATTTAACGAAAAAGAATGAATTAACATCAAAATGGTGATTTGAAAAAAAACGAAAAGGTAGTATGATGTTATTGGTTAGATTAAACTTAAAATGAATCAGGAAAAAAAATTCTATTAAAATGACATAAATACATTCGTAGAGTTAAATTAATCAAGAAAAAAAGACTAAAAAAATATTGACGAACAAACGTACACAAATGAGCCATATTGTAAAAATACTCAATATCTACAGAGATTACATAATTCAAGAACTCTTTGGATCATTGAGCTCCTAATTATGCACTCCGTATGTTTTTAAATTAAAAGGTCTCATTTGAAAATAAGTTCTCAAGTCCATTTTTAAGGTAAGATAAGGAAACCATCCTTGAGAATGCTTTGCAAGCGAGTCAAGGGACTCATGAAGCTTCAATCTAAGTAGGGGAGATGAAATCCCACCGAGTTAGATCTTGATTTATGAGCTTTTGATCAACTATAGTTTTTTGTGTGATTTTCTTACAATTATTTTGAATCTAGTGCCTTCGTAGTGTTCTTTAAGACTAGATATCATTGATGTGTCGTTGTATTGTGCATTTGCACTCTCTTTTAGTGCTAGAAGAATTGGTTAGACCGAAGAATCTCATGGTTTTTTACTCTTTCACATTGAAAGAGTTTTCCATGTTAAAATCTTGTCTCCTATTCTTTATTTTGTGCTTGGATCATCTTGTAGCTTGGTGGTGTTCTTTGGTATATTAGTTTGTTGCTCCTCGTAGATTCTTTCAAAAAGGAAAAATGTTGATCTCGGACACAACACAATTTTGTACTCTTTCCATTGCATGCAACAACCCAATTGAATAAAGCACGTGGATGTGTGTGCACGCAAACCTTCCCATACTCTAAAGTGGGATGTTGTTTCCCAGCTAACTACAGATTGAGTAAACAGCATATTATTTGGCTCAATGCAATAGCAGCCAAAGTGGCTAATATGTAATATTAAGAAAGCCTAATTTCACAAAAGAAAATCTCATGAAATACTCACAAAGGTAAAAGAAAGTCTAGCTAACATTATATAATAATTACCTGTATCTATATTACAGATTTACAGACAAAACTTTCATGTATGGCAAATATAATCTACTGCTACTCTTATTTCCAAGAAGAAGGGAATGAAAATGTCTCTTCCTCGCAACACTCTAAACAGCACGTATAGTTTGACTACGATCATTGCATCCAAGTTCGCCGCCTTATGACATTTAAAGAGGTGAAATCACTGTTTTACCCTTGCGTTTTAAAGTCGGTTATCACATGCAACGCGGGTAGAATCATAATTTTAACTCCAAAATGTCACACCCCAGCTGGGAAGCTTGTAGGAAACTTGGCCATTTGTTTTTTTTCTTTCTGAATTACAACACAAGTTGTGTTCAAATGTGATCATCATCATCATTGTCCTTACCAATTCAGGATGGACGATATTTTCTGCCCTTAGCAGAACAGCAGGGGGGGATGTTCATTTCATCCCTGGCAGTGAGAACACTCGGGAAAACCAAGTAGGCCCCACACCTAATCAATCTCACCTTCCTCTACGTCGTTTGTACCTTTTGGAGCACTAGAAGGAGCCGGGGGCGGCTCACATTCTTCAAAATCATCATCAACCTTCATAAACAGACCAAGCTGTTCCAGAGGATTACTGCCCGTGAACTTGAAACTGCCTAAACCGTCCTGTGAAAGTTGTGGGCTGGCCTCAGTTAGTGGGCTGAGCACTTGTTCAGCAGAGCCCACTCTCAACAGCTCCAGATCTTCAAGGAACCTGGAATTCTCATCGATCTCAACCGTCTGTTCCATCTGCATAACCAAAAGAAAGCTCAAGAAATAATGGAGGACCATATGTTCTTGTTTGGTTAGAGGGCCTTGGAGAGAAGGGAATGATTTATTTTTCATCATAATCAGCACCCTACACTTCTACTTGTTGGGGCTGGTGGCAATAAATTTATAATGCCCATTAATTGTAGAAAATAAATAAAAACTATAAATTCATGGAAAATCAGTGTTAAATTGGCAATGTTTGATGTTGAATGCCCTTCTTGTGGCCATCTTCATAAGATCATGAGATTAGTTGAGTTACTCTGCATAATCCATTGCCATGGAATTAAAAAGTCATTTTTGACAGTGTTTTAAATTCGGATAAATACGGGACTAAATCAAATTGACATGATAAAGTGTTAAAGAATGGGTCCAACGGAAACAGCCTATATGTTTAATGGGGGTAATGTGACGTACATCTTGATCTCCAAGACCCCAAGGAAGTAGGGATTATACTGGGTTTGTTGTTGTTATTGAGATATTTTAACTGCTGGATTGAGGGAAACATTTTCCACAAAACTATTGACGCTATGTGCAGCACATGAAAACATTTACAATTTAGTTTTCAAGGAAATGTTTTCAATCACTGAAAAATAATTTGCTCCCTGATTTTTTAAGAAAATGGCAATGCTATTTCCCTGGAAACATGATGTTTTGTATTTTTGTGAGCCGAACATTATACTATTTTTCCAAAAAAAAAGAGTCAGGAGATCATTATCCACAAAAAATAATTATCTGTAAACATATTCTGCCAAACAGAGCTTTATACTGCAAAAAACTACAACCACCGAGCCAACAAAAAGAATCATAGAAGTAAAGTGATTATACTTACGTTTTGAGAAATTTATTGTTTAGTTTAACTAAATTTATCATATTCAACTTGTTTGTAACTTCTTTTGGTTTTTTTTTTTTGACAAATTGCAAGAAAAATTAGCCACATTTTTATGAATTACGGATTATTACTTTGTGGAGAGGAAAAGAGCATTAGAAAAAGATCTTTTCTTTTGGGGGGGGGGGGGGGGGNTGTGGCTAATGCTTGTTTAAAATAAAATTAACCAATTGCAGCCACATATTTCTTCCTTGAGGGATATGAAAAACTTTTCAAAGACAAGCCAAAAAGAGGAATGAGAAGAAAATTTTAGGCCAAACTTCGTATGAAGTGTGGAATAGCATCTAATCTTCACTTTTTAGCTACGATTTATATATAAGAGTTAAATAAATAAATAAATATCACCCCTCCCCTGTCATCCTGTCCAGTCCAGTAATCCACTCCCCCCCCCCTGAAAAAAAGGGAAAAAAAGAGCCAAACAAGGCTTATAGTAATGCAAAGGGAGATTATCCCAAAAATTACCTTGAGCAGTGCTTGCCTTGCAGCTTCCCTTTCAAATTCCCTTTTTCTTTTGGCCTCAAAAGCAGCCTCCTCTTCTGCTCGTTTTCGAGCCTCCTCTGCAGCTTTTGCTTCTGCCTGCAGTCTGGCTTTTTCTGGTACCAGTGCAGCATAGGTTCATTACACCCATAAATCAAAATAAGATTCTATGGAAGTACTCTTTACTCTTTTAGGGGCTCAATTGGGAATCTACCTTTCTTTCTCTGCATCTCAAGTACCTCCCTTTCACGGCGGAGTTGTTCGGCATCCCCCTTCTCAACCTGAAAATCCAATCAATCAATAACGCCTTAATCCCAACCATGTCGGTGTCGTGGGTCATGAAATTGATAATTTGGTAATGTCAACTAATTCCAAAATCTAACTACTCAATGCCCAATAACATTTTTAACAATGTTTTAGCTTTGTATAAATAATGGTCTAAATGAAAATGGCACATAAAAAGTCTCTTGCTTCTTAGTTCGTAAGCTTTGAACATAAATGCATCAATGCATCACAGTTCTAAAGGAAAAAACCTTTCTGTATATTTGAGGGGTAAGGTTGTGTACACCTTGACCCCCAATTCTAGTTTGTTGTTGTAATTAATAACTCAATGCTCTAAATTTATTTAAAAAACTATTAGTGGGTAAATTTGGCACCCTTCCTGTCATGACATTCTCACATAGGAATAATAGAATAAATTCCAAGACTGCGATCATCAAACTCTTTTAATTTTACATTGTACATTCTCTGACATCTATACCAAAAATGCACTGAAATCAATGAAATGTACAACTTCATTGTATATTTAGCATATATTACTTGTTTGGAATGAAAATAAGTTTATGATAGTTACAATACACATGGCTCATTGCACAATTGATACTGTAAAATAACCATACTTACCTTTTCAATGTTCTATGATCAGGCACAGAAAATAAAAAGGAAAAATGGTGAATTAACCAACCTGACCAAGTGTCTTTTCTCGAGCCTTTAAAATTGTATCAGCAAATCTATTCTTCAATAAAGCAGCCCTATAGAGCTTTTCAGGAGATGCTGGCCTATCACTTTGAAACATCTCCCCTAAAATGTCAAATGATTGTGATGAGATGTAGCCTCTGCGAACACTTCACTACTACCAGAACAGTTCCACTTAAACAAAATAGATACCCCTCATTGCATGCTCTTACCATCATCAACAGAATCCAGCTTTTGTTGGGAGTTTTGTTCAACTTGACCAAACAAACTGATAGAATCTGGAGAAAATAGATTCAATTGACACTCAGCAATGACTAAGGCTATGTCTGGAACCCGGTAAATGGTATGGCAAGAGGGGAAATTTTCCACGAAAAGATGGTTTTAATTGATTGTGTTTTTTTACCGTGGAAAAATACAAAGGTAAATCAAATTTGAATTGAAACTTTTGTATTTTTACACATATTTAATTCCTTTAACAGTATAATACAAATACATAAACAAAATGAGTTTGAACAAATATCCAAAATTGACTTATTGAGTTTGAATTAATCTTCCTCCCTCCCAAATATCCAAAATGTTCCATCCTCCCAAATCTCTCATATAGTTTCTTTCTTATTTTCATTCCACAGGCATTTCCCGGGATCATAACGGACCTCAAAGGACCTAAAGTAAGAAGCCAAGAAGCTCAATCGACATCTCAAATACTGTAACAAAAATCAGTGGAAAAGACAAACATTGACTATGACGACTTCCAAATTTTATTGACCATAAAGTATCAATGTCCCATCTTTATCAGACATCAAAGACACTGCACATTTACCACGAGAGAAGTCAACAAGAAAAGACAGCATAGCTTCTTAGGCTATTTTTGGAAAGAAATCATAAGCTAGCTAATAGATTTTCTTTCTTTAACAGTTTAACCTTATTTTTACTTTATAAATATATTAAACATGCCCCTATTATGTTATTTTGTTTGTCAAAGCTAGCTATTCAACCATTGTTCACCAACATTGTCCTCAAAAAAAACCGTTATACACCAAATACAACATAGAATCAACTAACCTATCAGTTACAGAATGTAGATTATTGATTTAATCTTCTAATGAGCAAGTGTTTCAAAAAGAAAGAAAAGCAATTATGCTACAAAAACGGTTGGCATAAAATTGAAGAAATGATTTGTACACTGAAAAGAACATATAAAGCTCATCTAAGAAAGCAGTACATTGGAATTTTTTTAGGAAAATACTTTTAGAGACATAAGGACAAAACACTTATAGAAGTGCTTATACCATAATTTAATACGGAGTATCAAACAGCCCGTTATTGGATGGGGTTTTTACCTTTTCCATCTATGCTTCCTGCAAGACAACTCTGATCCTGCAAGCATATAAGACAATAGTTATAAAATTAACAGCCTATTGCAGGTTAAAGACTTCCGTGATAGAGTGTGTGTTGATGTCTTTGTGTATATCTGTATATAAGTAATTAATATACCTGCTTTGTAAGAGCAGAAGCCTTTTCTCCGTGGGAATCATGATCGGAAGAGCTACTGTAGGCCAAACCTGCATCCATTAACCAAGAACATGCAAAACATTTCACCGAATCAGCAATTAAGGTAGTCTTTAACCCCCAAAAATCAAAACCAAACTCCTCCCGTTTAACACATTTAGACTCCGAGTCCAAAAAGCATTTATGCTTAAAGGCTGTGCCACATAATGGCCCTCGCTTACAGATTTTATTACTGACAGATGGAACTCAAGGAAGTAACAGACATTATCTAAAGTTTTAAAGCAGAGATTTGGATCACAAAGTACGGACAAACAGGGGTTACAAATACAATTCCAGAAATTGTAAAGCATGATGTTCCCATCCAGCCCAATCAAGAATTTCAGAAAGACTATCAGTAGGAACATAAATCAAGCTTAGTATGAACATAAATCAAGCTTACAACTTTTTGGATCTAAACATCCAACACTGAGATGATATAACTGGATTGAAACACCAAAGAACCATGTAACCCATAGTGGAACAGGGGTAGATCCATAAAGAGAGATGATATAATTGGAAAACAGGTAAGTTTAAGTAGTAGAAGGAGATGACAGGGTTGACGGCATATGTTAGAGAGAAAAGTGTAAATGCTGAAAAGATAGGATAATAAGTTGTAGATCGAACGAATGGTGCAGATTACAGAAACCAACCACTATGCATTTCCAACAAATTTTGTGAAAGCAGTTCAGTTTTAGAGTTCAGACTCCAAAAAATTCAACCAATTAGAGCACACTCGGGGCTATGAAAAAAACAAAGTCATACTACTGAACCATTTGAAACTTTAACATATTTGCTTAATTAGAACCCATCCATATAATGGCCACTCCTACTAAGAGAGGTTCAAGAACAAACTTCAACAACCAAATGACCTAATCTGATTTCAACTTGCAAATAGTATTTCATAATACAAAGCCAATATATTTGCCAAAGCACTAAGCATTAGCAACGAGAATACACCGATCTGTAAGGATGTCAAAGCCTGACCTGAATTTCTAGTCGGATCCCGCGCATTTTCACATTCATTACTCTGTAAAGCAGTATCCTTTTCGATTTCAATCGAGGGATAACTTGATACGGGAGGCTCATTTCCACCAATGTCAATCTCATCCTCAGCAAGATCATTACCTGTATAGTGCATACTAAAATGAATAAAATAAAATACTAAGCATAAGTGAGAGGAGGAAAAATGGGCCATATTTAAACATGAGTAACCTTTGTCTAGTTGCAGGGATGAATTGCTAAAGCCCGACTCGTTTTGAAGCTGAAAATGAAACATGATAGGAACACGATGAATATATCAAGTATGCATATTTAACCCTATTTAAAAGAGGACATTTTGATCCTTTTTGGCTCAAGAGGGGAACACTGCATCAAATATGAGGCTACCTCAATCTCGCAAGCCTCTGCTTTTGTACTGCTTTTTTGTTTCTGATGCAAAAATTCATCCAGTAGTACTCTCAATTTGAATAATGTTTCATCACTGAGAACATCAATATCAATCTCGATTTCATCTTCTCCCGCCTCTGCTCCACCAGAACTCTGTTCCTTAAGAAACTCAATTATGTTGTCTGGTAAATCTGCCAGTGAGGCTGCCAATTCTTCGCTTAATCTGTTTTTCTCTTCATTACTCATCCTCGGTTTAGGTGGTTCTGGGACTACCATATGCTGTTCAGGAGAAAGTTTCCTCTTCTTTGAAGAAGATACAGGTTTTGAAGATATAGGCTTTGAAGATACAGGTTTAGTTGTTTCGCTTTCTTCGTGTAGACCAGAGTTAATTTCTGCTGATTCAGCAACACTGCTAGGAATTTTCTTCTCGATAAGTTTCCATCTCATTTCAAAAAACTTACAGAGAGTATCAGCCAATAAATGGAAATGATTTCCAGGTGGATTGTACGTCATGGCATTGGAAAAAGTTAACCTAACATCAGCAAGAAAGTCTAGTGGACTCGAGTACTGACCAGAAGTCAGTTTCTTCTTTATGGTTCCAAGATCCATTGGATGCTTAATGACGGTGAAATAATCTGGGATGTTTAACTCTACTGGATCGACGGGTTTATTAAAAACCCAGCCATGTTCATGTGTCATTAAGCTTTTCAACAAGTTTCCACATTGCTTAAGTAAGGTTGAATTCAAACTTGATTGTTCTGGAGCCTGTTTTGCAGAGTCAACCCTTCCGGATGAACCCATGTTCCATCCTCGGGGCTTCTGTCCAAGAGAATTCGAGCCTGATTTCTTCCCCGGACCAGAAGATTTTTTTATGCTCCCTGCGGAGGGTCGTTTTTTTGTATTGCTGCAGCTAAGAATGTCACTGCATGATGATGCAGGTACAGTATTTGTTCTGTGAAGTTCAATCTTTTTCTGGAGAATACGAGTCCGTTCAAGGTCGGATCTCAACTCCCGTACTAAGTTCCATCTCTCTGAAGGCGATAATTTAGACAAGGGTATAACTTGGAGGGGGACAGAAAACACATCATCAGAAGTGGAATTTAAATTGACCCACTTTCTTCTATGTGCTGTTGAAGCCTGTGAACCCCCTATTCCAGTAACTACTCTACCTGAGCTTCCAGAATCTTCCAACTCATAATTAGTGGCAAACCCAGCAGAATATCCTCCAGAAAACCTATCCTTCTTTGACATCATCTTTCGCGAAGCAACCGACACCTAAAAGAATCTCTTCTTCAATCCAATGGTCACAAGAAAATATATAGCTTTGATATTCTTCTCCCTGAAATCAACCAGCCTGACACCACACATCTAAAGCAACCACTTGCATTCAACAATGACTCATAGGTCCCTCTTCCAATATAAACACGATTAATCAACATTGCACCAGGAAAAAAAATCTGATTCCATTAGTCATTACCAGCTAATAAAAATTTGGAGAAAAGGAATATTTTGTTTTTAAAAAAAAAGGCTGGATCCAGAGTAGTTAGCTCGGAAATCAGAGAAAAAAATCAAATTCCTCAATAAATTCAGTCCGATTCCTAAACCTCAGCAAAAAAATTGAAAAATAAATACAGAATCCGGGCGCGTATATTGCACAATACCATACGGATAAATACGAAGATATATACGTATATATACACACATATAGATACAAATGAGAGGTAGAAATATAAAATCGGAGGAAACCTAGTAGGAGAATATCGATGGGTGCGGTGGATCGGCGATCGCAATCGAAGGGGGCTGAAGGCGGAGAGAGCTCCTCCACGGCGGAGAGAGAGAACCAAAAGGATGGAGAAATTCCTTCCAGTCCAGAGGAGCTAATAAAGATCTGAGCCGTAGATCATCATCTCCACTGCCTGCGGCTCGACGGAAACGCCGCGTGAAATTATTGTCCGTCGATCCAAATCTGATGGATCTGCCGTGTCCTATGGGCCTGGCCCGCATAATCTCCCTTTCGCCCCCTTCCAAATTTAATTTTAGCCTTTTTGAAAACATTATAAGGAGTACTTCTTTTCCTCTAACAATAATGTTCTCGTTCATTATTCAAATGGTCAAATTTTATTTATTTGTTAAAATATAATATATTTATGTCATCTTTATTTTTGTAGATCTTTTCATGAAGTTTTAAAATATGTACTTTTTATCTTTTAATTTCATAATATTTTTCATATAAAATGATTTAAAAATAAATTCAATCAAATATCATAACATTAACGGGAACATTATTGAAAATAACCAAATTATGTGCACCAATTCAAAAAAATTATTGTTCCCACACAAACTTTGCCAAGCCAAAGTAAAGTTGCAACTTTCCACCAAAATAAATTTGGGACGGTTCCCATCACATTGTCTAACAATGTCATGGATGATCCGGAGGATCTCCGGTGTCCTGTTTATAAAATTGATGATTCCTATCACGGTAAACCCCTCACCCTGTTCCTACCAGAACACACCCCCGATTCCAAAGTTAAGACTAACTTGTGGGGTGCAATTGAAGGAGATGCAAGGGTGTGTTCGGGTGGGGGACTGGGCGAGGGGTGTGCATGGAAGTTAGAACTTAGAAGGATAGAAATCGTCAATTTTACAAACGGGACACCAGAGCACATTGGGTCATCCATGAAATGGGGTTCCAATGTTATGAGATATTTATCTAACCATCCAGAAAGAATATTATTGAACTAACTTTTAGGTTTTATTATTCTCATTAAACAAAAAATCATTTTTATAATACTTCTCTCTAAGTTCCTAGAACAACTTTGTATTTTTTTTTAAATTGTCCCACTATGATTCTATGAAGTGTTTATTCATGATTCACATTAAAGAAAAATGATCATGTTAGCAAGGTACTAAGTTGATGCAGTTTTTAGCACATGAATTGAATGAGATTGTGTAATCATAAAATTAAAGATGAGAATCTACTTGGAGAAAAATATTCTCTAGCTCTTATAAAACAACAAGGTTTTGATCGGACATTAGTAAATTGAGATTAAATACAAGATTTTTTTCATTGATGGTATCTAAATTTTGGAGGTTTTTCATTTCGGTAAATAAAATTTACTTGTACACAGGGATATAGTCTTTTTTGTTAAAACATTCAATCAGGTTGATGTATTTTAGTGAAAAGAATTAAAAATAAACTGAGAAAGTGAAAAGTATTCCAAAAAAGAAAACATCATAGAGTACCCAATTAATAATTTTTTTGCATTTTTAGTAGATGGATATTTTTGGAGAGTACTTTTGGGCAATTTTTTTTGGTAGGTGTAAAAAGGAATTTTCCTATGCCTGCAAAATGCCTTCTAGCATAAAATGATAAAAACCATTGGCGCCTAAATCCAACCCTCTTCTTCCTCCCATAGAAACTCTCCCCTGTCTTTGGCTCCTCTGCTCACACATAAAAGTACATTCTTTTCCATTCCAAGAAATGGATCTTTTCGCCGCCGCAAGGTTTTCATTTATCGAGGGAAATGGTAAAGTCGCCGCCGGCGAAGCACCGTCCGACGAAATCCCTAATTCTTTTGGCATTTGTTGGTGTTTTCCTGGTTGCTCTGGCCGTAGATTTCACATGGGCTCCATCTCTGTTTTCCTCGACGTATTCATCCATGGCCTCCGTCTGGACACGCCAGAAGCACCGAATTGTCTTCTCCAATTTCCCAGACAATGCTCGAAATGTGAGTTTCATTTCTTTTCAATCGGAGCTTATTTTAATCTTCTCTGTGGTCGGGATTATTGAGATCAAATGGGTTTAGCCATTTGTAAACTAAATATACCCCTTTATCCAACCATAAATTACAGTACTTGAACTATTCATTTTAACTTCTGAATGCTTGAGATAAGCTTGTTTGTATAAAATGTGATGAAATCTTCTTTTTGTTGAATTGTTATGATCAAGGACTTTGCTGTCCAGAGTATGAATGTTAGGGAGAACATAAGCGCTTTAAACCGCGAGAGGTTTTTATCAGCTACGTTTGCGGATTTGCCCGCTCCCAGCTTGGATTGGGAGCAAATGCCATCAGCCCCCGTGCCTCGCTTGGATGGGTATTCGATTCAGATAGAGAACAAGCTCTATGTTTTTTCAGGTTATGAAACCCTCGATCATGTAAGAATCAATGCCACTTCTATGAGGTTATGCCTGAGTTTTGAGATCAAGTGTTGCATAGTATCAGTGCTACAAAATGTTGTGTATGATCTCAGGTTCATTCTCACGTGGACGTGTATGATTTCTTAACCGATACGTGGGTGGACAGATTTGACACACCGAAAGATATGGCGCATTCGCATTTAGGGATTGCTAGTGATGGCAGATATGTCTACATAATAACTGGGCAATATGGTCCTCAGTGCAGAGCTCCTGTCAGTCATTCATTTGTCCTTGACACTAAGACTAAGAAATGGGAGCCCTTTCCGCCATTGCCCTTTCCAAGGTATGGCTTTTCTTAGGCCTTAATACTAAATTTCACTTAAGCGGTCTTTGGTTGGGTTTAATACCATATTAAGCCCGTAATTGGACACTATAATCTACTAGGAATACATCCATAACTTTCCCTTACTAAATGAATGTAAAAATGATGTAAAAGGAATATACCAGATTAGGCCTTAACCATTTTTTTCCATTTCCTCGACTGCCTTTATTTTTTTACTTTGTATGATATGCGGTGGTTTATATTAGTAATATGCGGAATATGAAATAATAATTAATATATATGGAGTTTTACTTTTTATAAATATGGAGTAGTTTCTTTATGTACATTATCTGATAATACTCATAATAGATAGTTTTATGCACCTTGCATTTGGCACCTCAACTTCAGAGGCGCTGGACTCTAAATGAAGTGCCAAAGACCTGAATATAGGAACATTGTAATTGCATGGAGATTGATGGCAAACTAGTTGCTAACCCAAAAATTGGGGAATTTCAGGTATGCTCCAGCAACTCAACTGTGGAGAGGAAGGCTTCATGTTATGGGTGGCAGCAAGGAGAATCGTCACACACCAGCAACCGATCACTGGAGTATTGCAGTGAAAGATGGTAAGGCCCTCGAAAAAGAATGGGTCACTGAAAAACCTATTCCACGGGGAGGACCCCACAGGTTTGTTTCAACAAATACATGGGTTTTCAGCATCACTGCATAGATATTTCCTTTAGCAGATTCAACTAGTCACTCTAGTCTTATATGAGAATGTACATGTGCAGGGCTTGTGTGGTAGTTGATGACCGGCTTTATGTTATTGGTGGGCAAGAGGGTGATTTCATGGCCAAACCCGGTTCCCCGATCTATAAATGCTCTAGGAGATTTGAGGTACTTCCCCTCTATAATGCTCTAGGGTGGGTGATCGAATGGCCAAACTCGTGGTTGCACATCATGAGAAGAATCAACTTATTCAAAAGGCTTTAATATGATTTTCATCGTTGCAAATATAACATCTTTGTATGATTTGTTTTGTTTGAGGCCTGTGTAAAAGTATATACTGCGTATTTGTTATTCATCCCTATAATTTAGGCAATTTTCTATTTAACTGACTTGGCTTACAGAACTCTGTCATTTTTTTAAATGCTTAGTGTAGAATTTCATGGGAGACAAAAGAAGCATAAGTTGAAAGTGAATGATGAGTTTCATTTATTCCTAATTCCTCCAATAGTCCTAGATGAGGTATAGAGTATAGACAGCTAAGTTCCAACGACCAAATTGGAGTTTCATGAGCCACATCAGTTTTCTCTTGAACGTTGTCTGACAAAGAGTGATGAATAAGAAAACAACATAAATTTTAAGGATGAACAACAAAAAAATCAGAGGCACCTAAAACAATAAAAAGATTTGAGTTTTGCTGGGACAAAAAGGCATTTAATACTTCATGATTTTTCAGTGGTTTCTTCTCAACTTACAGGTGGTTTATGGGGACGTGTATATGTTGGACAGCGCAATGAAGTGGAAGGTATTGCATCCCATGCCGAAACAGAACTCCCATATAGAGTGTTCTTGGGTTCTGGTAAATAACTCCATTGTCATTGTGGGAGGGACAACAGAGAAACACCCATTGACAAAAAGGATGATGCTGGTTGGAGAGATTTTCCAGTTCAACCTAAACACATTGGTATGCCATTTTATATCCCACGAAAATATGCTTATAGGTTTATATGTGTCACGTCTGCTAACATCGGAACGCAAGGCACACACAAATTGAACAATCCCGGTCCAACCATAAGTCCCATAGTTGGACTCAGTCCTTAATAAAACAGCCGAATTGGCACATTTCTTAAACATGTCTTGAACGAGCTACCCGAAGAACACAATTGTGAGCCTTGCGAGGCCCGAGCCACATAAATTGCAGCCCTATTTGCTAACTTTTGTGAGGGTTTAAGATCAATGGTTTTCACTTTTCAAGCCATGCCCACTCTTTACAATGCTTGCGTGCATCTAAAATACTTCCATAGAAACAAACACCAATAATATTTCACATCCAACTGCACACATTTTATCCAAATTTTGATGGCATCAATTTGTGCAGGAATGGTCAGTGATTGGACGGCTTCCCTACCGTGTGAAAACTACACAAGCGGGTTATTGGAACGGATGGTTGTATTTCACTTCAGGGCAGCGGGATAGAGGACCGGATAATCCACAGCCGAGAAAGGTTATTGGGGATATGTGGAGAACCAAATTGAACCTCTCATCTTAGGTGTTTCAGACTGATCAGCTGCAGCTATTCTCATGTCCCATGATCTTCCACAGTTCATCATTGTATCATTCCACAATCAAATCAGCTTAGGATTTTTGTGTCAAATTAAAGGCTCATATATTGTAAAAGTTAGGTGTTAATTGCAACATCCAAATAGTGCTTTGGTTAATTCTTACTTTGGTAATGTATTTCTCATATTGCTCATATCCTGGTAACGTATTGTAATCTGTTTGGTAAAACTGTAAAACCCATGGTCTATTTGGAAATCCCATTTTTAATCCGCTTCAGAGTTTTGAATAATGCTAGACTAACAGTACTAGCAAACTTAGTTAGGAGGTGGAGAGTGGGGATCTCCTAATATGGTGGGGTTTTAAACCACACATGAGCCTTCTGTTAGATGCTAAATCATGGGTTGGATGTTAAGACAACGTGATCCAATTACCAATGGAAACTAGTTTTTTCTATATACTTCCCCAAAAAGATTTGTTATTAAGTTAAATTTTTTGGGTAGTAAATTAAGAGCATAAAAATATCACATCATATGAACAACACAAATAACATTGATAAATCAGTTTCAAGTTCAAAACCAGAGTCATTTGAAATCGAATCTCACAACTTCAGTAAGCAAGGCATCAAATTTTGATAGCTATGCATTATTTTCTGCTTCTGTCTCCCTCTTTTTGCCTCTCTTTGTGACTGTAGGCCCCTGTTGTTGCTCGGCCTTCTTTTGAGCTCGGATCATGGCCCGCCTAGCACGGGGCCGCATTTCACGCACTTTACGAGGTGGCATCACGTAGGGCTCTAAGGGCTTGTCACCAAAGGGGTGCTCACTGCCTGCAAATATTCTCAATTTCCGATCTCTATCCTGAGAATAAAACGGTAAAAGCATAAAAGGTCACTTCAGACATACGGAGTACTCCTTATGAGTTATGATCATCGAAATCAATAATTTAATTGACTATCATTTACAAAGCCTTAACTTATATAGATTCGAAATTAAGGTAATAGCACCTCTAGTTTCTTTCACTAAAGAGTCAGGTTGGATGAACAGTTTTAGGGGGGTTTTGGGAGGTTTATTCTTCATCTTGATAACTCAGAATGTTTGTAAAAATGAATAAAGGGTATGGTGTGATATACGATCACCTATTATGTAATTCCATCAAAATTCACAAAATCTAAAATATATGGAGTATATGTATATATCAAGATATGTACTAAGCCCCCTCCATCCAAACTGACTCTAAAGATAAACTGAAGAGCAAATACGCAAGTTTTTTACTAGGCAAAAATAAAACAGGTAGACGAGCTACAAATGCAGACATTCCCTTATTGCAGCTCTATTTTGTTTGCCATAAAAGGAGCTATGATATAAAAGATACTATAAATGATTGTGTGTGAGTATGGCTTACATCGCGCAACTTGTTTCTTGGAAGCATGCGGAGAACTGCTTTGCGGATTACTTCTGTGGGGTCCTTTGCCATTTGGTCCTTCAAACTCCTCTCCTTGAGGTGTCCAATATACCTACAAAAGAAAATAGCTGAGGAATCAATATGGATACTTTTCATACCAAGATCCACGCACAAATATCATCAACAGATGCAAGATACTATCCATCTGAATTCTGAACCAGGAAGTGAAAACCAGATAAAGATCACATTTGCTGGAAGAGATTGAGATCCTATTTGGAATTTTGAAATCATCATTTTCGGCTATTAAACATTATTTGTCAGTTCTTTTACCAATCACTAAGTTATTCCAAGGTGTTTGAAATGAAAATTGTAGGGGAGGAGCTGCTATTTTGGATGAAAGGACAAAAAATGATAGTTATGGCGTATAAGTTATACTTTGCCACAGTATGAATTTAAAAACAAAATTGCTACTTGCCCGGTGTGCCATCTGTAGAACTTATTAGTGAGCTTTCTTCCTGTGACACACACATCCTTTGCATTGATCACTACACACATATCCCCTTCGTCCCATTGAGGTGAGTACGTCGGCTTATCTTTACCTTGAACCACAGTTGATATCTGAGCTGCCAGCCTCCCGAGAACCTGGCAAGGATCACATCCATCACTAAATAAAATTTTCGTTGAAGTACAAAGTCAATAGGGAGAGCATATTCTAACCTGGCCTTTGGCATCAAATACTCTCCACCTCAGACCCTCCAGATCTATTCGTCTTAAGCCAGCAAGTGCTTTCTGTAGTAACAAATGCGCTTGTCAGTCCCGAATCTTGGAAGATAGCAACGGGAAAGTAATAAATCCTACTAAACATTATTGCAAGAACCAAAGTTTGCATCTTTCGAACAGTTACATTTCTCAACGAGATAACAATGGTCGATGGAAAAGATCACACCAAAAGAGTAAATTTAACAAACACCTTGTGAGCATGCTCAAACATGACTATTTTCACAATCAGAGTAATGCATAAAATACAGTAAGAACATGAAGATGGAACGAGAGATAAGTAACAAAATTACCTTCAAATTGCCGCTAAAGGGCGGGGCTGTGGCCGCCATCTCTGACGCTGCTGAGCTAGTCGGAGAACAGACAACAGATGAAGAGAAATGGCGGGTCTGAGAGACCGCTGTACGGAAAAACACGGCGAGGTCGCCGGAGGATATCAGCGCGCGCCTCATATGGAACGAGATGATTGAAACTTGATCTCAATACACAGTCCTCTTCATCATCGTGCTGAACTGGTTTTCTAGGGTTTATTTTGCAAATGGAAAATCCTTTTTTAATAAAACGAAAATCCATTACCCCGTCCCCCACCCACCTAAAAAGAATACAGAGTTTACAGTAATAAATGGTACCTCAATTGAATAAAAATCATAATCTATATTAATTTAAAAATATTTTAACTAAATTTATTTTGTTGAGGTTTTGCTATTGAATTAATATAAAATACAAATTAAGAGTAGTTAATGATTAAAATTTATTCAATTTGACAAAGAAACTACGACCGTGTTTGAAAATAGCTTTTCGGATAGCTTTTGACATATTTGACTGACTTTGATTTTTTGGACTTAGCGACGCACTTAAACCACTGTTTGGCTAATAGCTTTTTCACTTGGCATTTTGATCTAAAAAGCCAAAATCTGAAATGCCCAGGGGAATAGCATTTGAACTCTGTTGTTAGAATTTTTTTTAAAAAAATCATTTTTTCTTGAAAGATATTTTATAATATGTGTAAAAAAATAAAAATAGAAATAAAAGATAAAAAAATTAAATGCTAAAAAATCAAATTTAAAAATTAAAAATTTCAACAAAAAAAAAGAAATAATAAAATAAAAAGTAAAAATCATTAAAAAGTTGTATATTAATAATTTCTGAAAATTTACTTAAATAGCACTAAAACATAATGACTTTTCTTAAATAGTATCACATGTGTTTTTCTTCCCAATGTAGCACTTTTAGTCATTATGCATTAGTCATTATTCAAGTAAATATTAGCCATCACTGGATATTATAGACATTATTAAGTGTTATTTAGAGAATAAAACAATTTAAGTGCTATATAGAGAAATGACTTAAGTTTTAGTGCTATTTAGGGCAAATATTTCATAATTTCTTATGAATTAAATGAAAGTAAAGAAATGAAAAAAATAAATATCGTGTGTGTCTATATATATATATATATATATATATGAAAAGTTATTTTCAAACGGTTAATTTTACCAAACATTTTTAACGATCAGCCAATTCATCCTGCTGGTCAACCAGCTAAACCAAGCAGCCATTCACAACAGCTGGGACGGATTGCCAACAGCCAAAAGGTGGCAGCCAACATCCAAACAAAGCCTACATCTTTGTTCTTCTTCAAAGGTAAGCTTTATTTTAGTAAGTTTGCCAGAAATTGTCTTTAGCTTGCTAAATGTAATAAGCCTCTCAAACTTTAGCAAGCCAATATTTTAAAAAATAAAATAGCAAATTATGGTGAGAGAATCAAATAAAAAAGTGTTTGTCATTTCTATTCACTTGCTATAATGTAAAAATAGCTAATTTATATAACAAATATGGTTGGAGATGCTCATACGTTGTAAAAACTTATCCCTTTGTTTGGATAAGGTGAGAAAAGGAAAGAACTGATAATTAGTAAGAAAAAATGATCAAATGAGAAAGTGATGAGAAAATAGAAAGAAAAGTATTATTATTTGGATGATGTGAAAGTGATGTAAAAGTGATGAGAAAATATGAAAGGAAAAAAATAAGAATGGGGAAGAAAAAGTTTTAGTGTTTGTTGGTGCATTTTCTCGCAATGGGAGGTGAGAAAAGTTTTTAAGTGAGTCTCATAATTATTTTTCATTTTCTTATTATTTTCATTCTTATCTAAACAATAGAAAATGTATTAGAGTATGCATTTTCTCATCTCTAATTTTCGTTCCCCTCTTTTTCTCACCATCCAAACAAAGGCATAGTTTTCTGTTAAAATTAAGGATTTTTACTTTCTAACCTCTGAGTTAACTCCCCCAACCCCGACCCGAACCGATCACCTCGCTCCCTTCAATTGGTTCACTCAATTTCAGTTCACTTTGAGGTAAAAAATTATATACTCCGTATTAAAATTAAGTAAAAATAGAAAAATAATTATTGTTTTTTAAAACATAATCCGTATAATTTAACTTGAGTTGAAATATGTAAATACTACAGAGTAATTAAAAAATAATGGAGTCATTGCAACGGAAATGAAGGAGTACGAGTGTAATCAACCATTCAACTTTCAATAATGTTCAATAAATTTCAATTAGAAAGAGCATAGCAATTCATTTGTTTCAATTCAGAGTGAATTTGAATTATGCCAAACCCGAAGCTGTGATTGTAGATTATGTAAAACCGAAGCTGTGATTGTAGATCATGTAAAACAGCAAAGGCTTCTTTTCGGACTACTATAATTGACATTTATATTCTCCGTAATGTTTAAGTGATGTGAATTAATTTTAAAAATGTAACGCTAGAAAGTATTATTATGTAAAATTTGTTCAAACGAGGACTATTATACTCCATATCACACCTTTAAAACACGGGACCAGAGAAAATCATTTACATTATCACACCAACTTTGAACTTTTCAAAGTGCATCGATAGGTTAAGTGTTCAACAAATGTAGTCTTTCACACATTGTTCAATACTCATTTCAAGAGAATAAAAAAAAAAGAGCGTTGAACAAATGTAAAAGGCCACAACCTACGACTCCGAACCTACAAGCCTATAAAACAGACTCCTTCCTCTCTACCCTCTTTTGTCACAAGGTTTAGCCCCCTCACCCACATCTCCGCCATCTCCGACCCGCCTTCACAGACGAAGTGCACCTCCTTGCCCATGGTGGTGACGACACGAAACAGCCCCGCCTCCTCTTCCACGTCTCCCCTCCTCCGCCGCAGCCTAATCTTCTGAAAGGCGATGCTGGGCCCCACCACTGCCTCTCGACACACCACATTACGCCTGCTCGATTTACCCCAACACAACACCCCACATTTGGAGATCCTGACTTCCTTCGCGTGCAGAGCCCCTCTCCCGCCCTTCGTGTACTTCTTCAACGACCCGCCGGCAACCACCAATTTTCGTGCGAGCTCGTCTAACACGACGCGTTCCGCGTCGTTTTTATGTTTCCTTCTTGCCAGCGACAGCGCCGTTTCGCCTTTACTGTTCTTCGCGTCACAAGAAGCCCCGTGGGAGATCAGAAGCTCACACGTGTGGCCCCGGCCTTCGCTGGCTGCCAGCATCAGGGGGGTGTTCCCATCCCTATCGGGTAGGTTCACGTCATAGCCTCGGCTTAGTAATAGTTCCACTGCTTCCGAGTCCCCCCGGCGGGCGGCACAGTGTAGGGCGTAGAACGACCCTCCGGCACAACGGTTGCCTTGTTGGAGGGCAAACTCCAGGAGCGCCTTTTCGAACAGGTCACACTTGTGATTCCGTGCACATAAAGTCAGCGCGGTGTCTCCTTGACGACTGCAGAGTTTGACATTGGCGCCCGAGAAGACGAGCAGGCGGAAGGCATCCACGTGGCCTTCCCTCGCGGCAAGCATGACAGCCGAGAATCCCTCTTCGTCTTGACGGTCGAGATCGACCCCTTTATCAATAAGAGTTTTCAAGGCTGTGACGTCTCCGGCTCGAGCAGCAAACAGCAGAGGAGAGAAAATCAACATGTTGCTTGACTTGGGGACCTTTCCATTACGGACCACGCTTAAGACAGCATGTTGAAATCCTTGCTCCCATCGGTTGGAACGGGCGATTGAACTTGCCGATTGACCGGTTGTGTTTACCAAGGCTAAATCCGCACCGTATCGGAGCAACACTTTAAGGCACTCTTCTTGTCTGTATCTTGCGCAGATCATGAGACCAGTCTCACCGGTCTCTGTTGTTGAGTCCAGATCACAGCCGAAATCACTCAGACACTCGAGGACGTTTGAGAGCCCGAGACGGGCAGCCATGTGTAAAGGCCGGAACTCGGTTTTTCGGGCGGTTCTAACAGGACACTCCACATCAGCACCGCATTCTAAGAGTACCTTGAGAGCTCCCACGCTGCCACAGAGAACAGCGTGATGCACTAGTGTTCTCCCGTGATGAGTCGCGTCGAGGCGCATGTTTTGGAGAAGGGAGCGTAGGATTGTTCCGCTCTCTTCAAAGAACTCTACAGCGCACCACGTGATGCCGTAGGGGTCTGCTAGTCCTGCACCTACCCTAATTTCTTCTCCAGATGCAGCATCCCATGACCATGCTCCAAGCCACACTTTGACATCAGTTTTAGCCCTGGCCTTTTTTTCAAATTTAAGAAAAAAAACACCGATCAGATGTTATACATTACTCGTATACAATGGTAACTATTTTGAAGTATCTTGATAAGGAATACAATATATCCAAGCAAGCAGCAATCACCTCTAGCAGAAGATTGACTACTGAGACTTGCCGACTAACAATAGCTGCAACAAGAGCAGTGCAATTAACGTTTGTGTGCAGAGCTGGTTTGCATGACTGGAGAAGCACGCGACTAGTGGCATTCACATCTACTCCACACTGCCACCACAGAGACAGAAACAATGTCAAGAATTAAATTAAGATACAAGGGAAATTTACCATGTAGGATACTAGCAAAAAAAAGAAAATGGATTACGTGTGTGTTTTGGTGTCAAGATAAATCGTGTTGAGTAAAAGAACCTTTCCCGAGCTACAACTACAAATTTGAGCTTTTGGTTGAATTGTTAGTTGTACATTTAACAGATTGATATATATTACTACAAGCTCACCTTGAGGAGAGCATCCACCACAGCTGTGAATCCCCTGCAGCATGCAGTAAAGAGGGCTTGTACCGCAACTTGGGGACGAATGAGGTCAGACCCCATCAACAACTCGGATGCCCTTGCATGCCCATAACAGCTGGCCTCCAGCAAAGCTTCCTCACAGGCCTGTTGAGACGCACCAGCCTTGAGTAACATCTCTAAAATTTCAAAATGGCTCTCCCGCACCGCTACAGTTGTTGCGAATCCCTTAAAAAGTTTCTGGTTCACGTCCGCTCCGATACTCTGCCATGTCAAATAAATGAAGTAGACGTTTATAAACCATGTCAAATTCTGGATAACAAACATATACATTTACTGAAAGGCACAAAAGGTAGGCTACTTGCAATGCAAAATTCTTCAGTATGGTTTTTTGCTGACCATTTTTCAGGCTTTTAGCAAACAAAAAGGAAAGAAAAGAAAGAAAAACTCAACTGACATTCATGGTGGGTGCCCATTTGGGAAGTGTGTGTCAAAACTAGTTACAAAATGGCAGACAGTATTTTTTGACTTTTCAACTTTAATTTGATTCAACAAAAAAGCATGATAGATAGAACCAACAAAAGCCTTCAGCCTCGCTAAGTTTAGATTAGCAGTCTTAATATGGGACCACATCAAAAGATAAAGGCGCACAAATTTTTCCCCTCCATGACACCTAGGTAAATTGAGTTGTTTGTATAGTTTTAGTCACATATAGCGCCAAGAGTCGAACCAGACCCATTAGAACTTTGCAAAACAGAGGGATGTGTTAAGACACTAAAGGCCTCATTCATGAATCTTAGCCTATGGTTGGATTTCGGATTTTCATAGGATTTTTGGCAATTTGGATCCACTTTGGCTAGCTTGACAGGTCCAAATAAATTGTTTGAATTAGCGGTTGGAATCCGAAAAGCCAAAATATGAGAGTAGGAAGATCATTTCAAGTGGGCTATTGGAGAAAAATGGGATGTTTTTACTATGTTGTCATTCTATATCTGAATTAAACAAACTATTCATTGTGTGTGTGTGTGTGTGTGTGTGTGTGTGTGTGTGTGTGTATAAACAAATACGGAGTATGTATACATTATACAGAGTATGTATTGCAAACATATTACGGAGTATATTATAGCATAAATAATAATTTATATAAATAAAATTATACAGAGTAATTTTTATTATAAATTTTTTTATATGATACTCCGTATAAATTATGATCCATATATATAAACATATCTAACACTCTATATTAAATTATAAATATATCTATAAATTATACTACGTAATTTTTATTATATAAATATATTATACTGTATAATAAGTAGTACTCCGTAGTACGTAGTATAAACTTGTGAATTTAGTTAATTCAATAGTGAAAATAATTGGTTGAAATTGGAGATAGATCTACAATTCTAAAGTAGAAATTGAATTCATGAGAGACATTTAAAAGGGGAATTGAATTTCTGAGCTCAGTCCAAACTCACCAGCAATTTTCTCACGAGAGCGACGTTTCCATTGTGCGCAGCCAGGAACAGTGCCGTGACGTCGGTCCTTAACTCCTCGCAGCCTACTCGGACTTCGCCGGGAGACTCCTCGCGCAGCGCGATTTCCGCCTTGCGGACCTTCAGGCGCACATCGCCGACGAAATTGACGTCGACGATCGGATCCTTGAGGCACTCGAGCGCCGCTGGGAGATCGCCGGAATGCGAAGCTTCCAGAAGCCGTCGCGAGACCTCGGCCTCGTAATCCACCGGGAAAACCTGCTTCCCGGCCAGAAATCCGCCGCCTCCTCCGGAATGTCCGAAAACAGGCATCTCCTGCGAAGCAAAAAAAACACCTCACCGTTCCCTCTTCGTCGTCTTCTGTATAGATCTATCTGTCTCTATCTATCTGTATCTACGTACAGATAAGAAGTTCCAGAAGCATCGTCAGTCTCTCTCTCTCTCTCTCGACTGGAGGGGTGGGGATGAAACTTGAAAAGAGTGAGCGCCAGGAGATTGAGAAATGGAAGAAGCTGGTAATATAGAGTTAGGGAACTTGGGTTAGTTCTTAACCATGGTTACCATTAATACGAGGCAATACTACTATACGGAGTCCGGTGTGACAGGCTTACACTTTAATGTGTCCGTGGGCCAGGCGGCCCATCACCGGCGGCCATTTTTTTCATTATTTTACTCTCTTTTTTTTTTTGAAAAAACCAAAGGTACGAAGTAATTGAATTGAAACAAAGTCGGTTTTTCCAAACGCGACAGACACTAGAAAATGTGAAACAATATTAGATTCCCGAGGGGTAAAATGAAACAAACAATTGGTAAAAGATTGTATAGTAAATATATAAATCACGATATAATCGTAGTTTGGTCTTTTCAAAAATTATATAATATCTGATTGAAATAAAAAATATTATGACAAGAAAGTCTCTCCATGAATCAGATTAAGATTATGAGGTTAAGGTGTGCCCAATTTATTTAGGAGTATTTAATATCTATTTTTACTAAATTTGGAAAAGGTTAAAATTAAAAAAAATACTCCATATGTGATTAAGAATTGTTTAATTGCTTTTCTAATATTTTGTTAGGTTGCCCAACACCAACCAAAATATCCAAAAAAGATAGTGTTAGGACACAATTTTAATTTAGTGACTCCCACGCAAAACACCATTTCGAATTTAAACCTCTAACTTTGATTATTGAATCTTCCAGTCACTTTTTTACTTTTTAAAGGAAAATTCCATCTTTGTACTTTTTTTGAATGCTATTGACTCTATTACAATGTAGTATCTGTTCATACTATTCTCAAGCTAATGACGCACAAAGAGCCAATGTTGCTGGCTTCGTTGAGCCAATGTACATTATTATGTAGAGATCCAATTATTTCTTTCACATACTAATATACAGGGGTGAACATGATACACTATTTAGCTCGTACCAATGTTTTATTAGACGAAAAAAGTAATAGAGACCCCCAATGGAGAAGTGTATATAGAAATTAACCAAAATAGAACTAAAATATAGAAAAAAGTACCAAATTAAAATAAGAGTTTCATATTTTTAATTTCGAAATAGGACTTTGCACTATGGTAATGTATGTGATTGAAATATGACATTATACATGTGCCAAATTATTATACTTTTTGGTAATATACATGACTATGTTAATGTAAATGCATTTTAACTCATATTTTAGAAATAAAAACATTAAAGTCTTATTTTGGTATGTTTTCAATGTTTTGCTCTTACTTTAATCTTTTTCCTTTCTTTATACTTTAGATTAGATGAATCCATATTAACAATTAATACTCCCTCCGTCCCACAATACCTTTCTTTTTTCTTTTTTCATCCGTCCTAAAAAATACTTTTCTTTTATTACTCCGTATTAAAAAGTCACTTTTACTCTTATTACTTCTTAACCTACCTATCACATCACATTTTTTCTCTATTAATCTATCTATCACATCAAAGGACATTTTTGGAAAATCAACACCAGAACACAGTCCCCTTAAATCTTTTAAAAGTCAAAATGAGAAGTTTTTTAAGGGACGAAGGAAGTACTACATTGGATGTCAATATTATCAAAATCGTATCGTTTTTCATAGTTATAATTATAATTGGAGAAAATAATACAGAGTTGGACACCTTTAAAAAAACTAGTGCTTATTATATATGCAGGGGCGGACCTATGGTTGTGCAAGTGGGGTCAATTGCACCCACTCCAAAAAAAATTATTTATTAGTAGTAGTAAGTAATTAACTATTATATGTAGATTAAGGGCATCCAAAAAGAGTATATTTATATGTGATTAGGTGCTATTTTTTTGAAAATGAACAGAAAACACCTTTTATAATTGTGTAGAATTTTATGTTTTAATTCTTTTAGATTTGGAAAATTGATTTAAATTTAATTACGAAACTTAATTATAAAATGTTCAATTTTTTGAAATGTATGAACACGTTTAATTTTTTTAAAAAGATTCCTAAAATATACTTAGTATTTGAAGAAATTTCTAGAATTAATATTTTAGTTGTTTAGTTTTTTTTCTTTTTTGGTTAAAGCAATGAACGTATTATATTTATTATACATTATTTCAAAAATATTACATACAACTTGCAATATTTATCTCAGAATGCTATTTATTGATACTTTTTTACCTTGTTTTAAATTTATTGCTATACAAATATCAACATTTTCTTTTGAAATATTTGCACTAAATAGCACATTGGGAAGAATATCAATAATGTCCAGTGATGTCGAATATTTGTTTGAATAATGACTAATGCATAATGACTAAAAGTGCTACATTGAGAAAAAAAACACATGTGGTGCTATTTGGAGAAAGTCATTATGTTTTAGCTATTTAAGTAAATTTCTCTTTTCTTTTTGTGTACAAAATGTGAACCCACTCACCGAAATTCCTGGGTCCGCCACTGTATATATGTATGGTGTAAGAATGGAGAGGGAATGGAGACGCAAGGCGACAAATGAGTCAAATTGAATTTGGTTCCCAAATATGTCCCGTACGTCTTATATCCGATTCGGAGTACTATAAATTGTCGAGATTGCTTTTTGACCACAATATCACACCACTCGCACCTAGTCAACTCTTTTGTTTTTTCTTTAACATCAACTCCCCCTCTCAAAATGGTTGCCGTATAACGGAAAATGAGGTAAAAAAATCAAGTTTTTTTGATTTATTTTATATAAAAGTTAATATAGAAATAAATTAAATAAAATTCATATATTTAAAAAATGCGGACAAATGTTTTTCAATGTAAGTTATGACAAAAATATACTCCGGAGTATTATTTTATCACATAAACAAAAATTCTTATACTCCTTCCGTTCCTAAATATTTGTCACATTTGTATTTTCCAGACAAAATATTAAGTTTTTTCAATTCATTTTATTTACATATTGGTATAGAAATAAAAAATAAAATTTACATATCAAAAAACTACATGAAAAGTTCTTTCAAATAAGATGTGTCAAGAATATTTTATTTTATCAAATAACCAATGAAAATGTAGAAACAAACAAAAGTTTCCGCAACTGCTGAAAAGCAAATGTTGCAAATATTTAGGGACGTAGGGAGTAATTGTTTAAAAGTGGCATGTGGCATTCTTTTTAGGATGGATGAAGTAATATATTATTCCAAACAAACAAATTAAAATTCATCAAATGATTACTAAATTTTGTAACATATAATTAGAAAATAGAAAGTATGAATTGAACTCGATCAATTAATCTAATTATCTAGGAAGAAATATAACTAAGGCCTCGTTTGGTACAAAGAATTCAACATATGGAATTGGAATTGAGGACTTCAATTCCAATTCTGGTGTTTGGTAGTACAAAAATCATGTGGATTTGGAATTGATAGTACAAAAAATTAATTGGAATTGACAGAATTCAATTCTATGGAATTGAATCTCATGGAATTTCAATTCCAATTCAATTCTAATTCCATCAATTCCATATACCAAACGGACCCTAAGGATTTTTAATTTAAACTATTTGTACACCAATTAAAAAAATAAATACCAAATATTTATAATGATAGTCTTTTTTGCAATTCACATACACAACCCATATAGAGAAAAGTGCACCGTTACTCCCAAAATCCTTGGAAATTGCATGATTTACCTTTGAACATTAAAACCTACACTGCTTGTCTTTGAACTCTTTGAAAATTGCACGATTTACACATGAACATTAAAAAGTTCACCAAATACCTCTGAACAAATTAAAACATTGCACTGGTAGTTCTAAAATGCTAGATAGGGAGTGCACTGCTCCCACTCATGGAAATTGCGAGTATATGATTCATCATCTAGCTAGCCCTCGCGAATTCTCCAAAGTATGTACCCTTCCCCAAAATTATCATCTTTATTTAAATGTTTAGAGATAAACCGTGCAATTCTGAAGAGTTTAGAAGTATTTAGTGCATTTTTTAATGTTCGGGAATAAATCATGCAATTTCTGAACAATTCAAAATATTTGCCTATTTGGTGTGTTCAGGGACAAACTGTGCAATTCTCGAAGAATTTAAGGGCAAACAGTGCACTTTTCTCCAACCCATATATAGAAGAGATAATACATTTCAATGTGCAACACAACTTTTTTATCTGTGAAATATACAAAATTGATCAACATTATATTTTTGTTTTTGATGTACGTACGTACATACATTATTATTATTATTATTATTATTATTATTATTATTATTATTATTATTAATTACTCCGTATATAGAATAGAGAAGCAGCAAGACGTGCGGTAGCGATTCTCCCCATGCATTTGATGCTCCATGTGCCATCACTATATATTTTTTCCCCTAATTAATTGAACTACCGATGCGTATGGGATTTGATCGACCTCCTAAGAGAAAAAAATCAGTGAGATTTGAGTCTTTTTCCAAGTTACCTGATTAGTCATTAATTATAGATTTTCGATAACGTTTTATTTTTGTATGCATTTTTATATATTCCGGAGTATTTAATAAAATAAAATAATATTTAAACTGTACATCTAGATTTATGATGTTTTCTCAGGACATATCCTGATTAATATTTATTTTTTAAGTAACAAAACACTTATTTTGAAGTAACGAGTACTCATTTTCAAGCATAATTGATTTTCAAAAAATAAGTACTTAGTTAGTTACTCAAAAAAAAGAGTACTCATTTAAGAGAAAAAACCAAAGTAGGTCTAAAATATTGAATATATACCAAATAGGACGTTTATGTTTTTATTCACGAAATATGACTTACATGACCAAACATGATCATATACATTACCAAAAAAATATATAGTAATGTGCACATGTACATTGCCACATTACCACAATGCAAAGTTCTATTTCGAGAAAAAAAATATGAAAGTCCTATTATGATACTTTTCTCTATGTTTTAGTCCTATAGATAAATTTCCATATTCAATTATATTACTCAAAAATAAAATAAATATATTCAGTTACTCGTAAATTTGAGTACTCGTTGCAAATGTATGTGAAATACTATACAACCGGTTGTACTAATATATCATAATCTGGAAAGTTTGTGATATACTTTCTTCATTCTATAAAGATGTTCAGAGCCAAGTGTGAAAACTTTGGCTCTGAACATCTTTATAGAAGGGAGAAAGTATATCAGAAAGGCCTGGTTCCATGGCCACTGGAATCCAGTGACCATGGAACCGGACCGAGATCAGAAACATAAACAATATTAAAAATTCAAAATTATGTAGGGAAAGACATGGGTGGTAAATTGGGTAAGGGGACTATCTATCTAGTATAGGGGAGGGTGGCTTAATAAGAGTTTAGGGCCATTCCTCTTTGCTATTGCAAGCTAGCAATTCAATTCAAGTAGCAAACACTGCACATACACACACACACACACCTCCATCAATTAACCTCATAGCTAGCTAGCCAGGCCGGCGGCCGGCAAGATATGGGTCGTCCTCGTCTTCCCATATTACTTTGCATGCATTCGTGTACGTGTACCGACCATTTCTGCCGTCGCCAACCTTATTTATTTTATTTATTTAAGGTTAATTAGAATGAATGAATTGAATGATCTCGAGAAAATTAAATACCTTTATAAAAGAAATAAGAATACATCTGTTGCTTTAGAATGTGAGATCCAAGACCATAAAATATTGAAAAATTAGAAAAATTGTGGTGACATTTTTGAAAATAAATTGAACTTTGTAAAATGTACTACCTAATTTGTAAAATGCACTATGATAAACTACGTGCTCTATAAAATGCATCACACTGATCAAAAAATACATCATTCTATTTTCTTTCACCAAGGTCATTCTTATGGGAATCGAGCTCCTACACACACACACATGCATGTATTGACAAGTCACCACGTATTTTTGGCCAGAGTTATGTTAACTTTAAAATGACCTGAGTCACCTAGAATATTTTATTAATAAAATTGATGATTGTTGTTCCTCATAACTCTCCAAAATCCCGATCAAAAGAACCTTGGGCTTTATTTATTTGAGTCAAATCAATTTCTATACTACACAAACTCATTCAATATGAACCCTATACTTCCTTTTTGATGGTCTACACTTTTATTTTAATTTGGAAAGACCACTACAAAGGGGGTTTAAGTAGCTCTTGATCCAGTGGAAGACGACCACCATCAAATGTTGGGTTTACTAAACAATTCTTTTGAAAAAAAAATAATAACCGCAAACATGTGATCGTGTGACACAAATATCTACTTGAATCATAGATAAAAAGATTAGCTAAAAAATCCATACACTAATTTCTAACAACTCTAACAACTACTTGGCTAACAATTTGTTTTTATAATCACAAACACGTGACGCAAACATCTATTTGAATCAGAGATAAAAGGCATGTTTGGTAATAGCGTTACAGATTGACAATAGTGTTTTGGATAAAATTTCAACGGTGCAAATTACTTTAAAAACATTAATGCTAAACGCTGCCCGTAGATAGATATTTCAAAACGCTAATGCTAATTTCTAAAGTTATTTTCAAACAAGCCAAAAAAGATGAGTAATTTACCTAAATAGGATGTTACACTACCGGGGGATACAAATATCGGGCCAGAGTTGGAAGATGTTCGGAACGAAGATGCAAGTGTTCGGGCCGAGAGTGAACGTGAAGGAAGCATTGGGCCAAGGCGTTCTAAACGGATCCCCAAACCCCCGGCAAAATTAAATGATTACCTTTATTAAATTATTCATTGTAATTTAGATTTTTATTAGGTGAGCAAAATATAAGCTCCTTCGAGGGTTTCTTTACGGTTCTTTACCTCGTCGCTTTTTCTTGAACTGTCAGAATAGATAACGTAGTATTTTAGGGTTAGGGTTTTACTATATAATTATAAATAGAGATGTAAGCCTCCTTCTCAATCATAAAAGAAATAAACCATCTCTAAAACCCTATTTTCTGGCTCGCCTCCCTCGGCCGTACGTCCTTCTTCTGCCCTCAACCCCATCTCCTTATTCTCCTTCTATTCCTTCCCTAGTCTCCCTCTATCATAGGACTTAAACATAATAACTTTCTCAATATAGGATCATTTGTTTTTATTTCTTAGTCTAGAATCGTTGGTCATTATCTATTAGTCATTATTTAACTAAATATCCAGCATCACTTGGACATTATTTCTTCTCACTAGTCATAATTAAGTCATATTTAGGGAATAAAAAAGTTTAAGTCCTACATTGAGAAATGACTAATGTTTTATTCCTATTCAGTGCAAATTTCACAAAAAAGATCTCCTCAAGAACCCATACACTAATTTGTAACCGATCAAACAAGTAACAATAATTTGTGCCAAAAACAAGATAAATATGAATTGCTTTTCTGGTACAGTGCAATAAATGTTTCATCACAGTGACAAAACTGTCCATCCCCCATCTATGATTAGTTTGTCGTGTACACACATGTAACGCCCTCAAGACCGAACCAGTCCAAACTTAGCCCACACTTCATGTTTTGGATTTTCGGATCGTCCAAAGAAACACGAAGACCACCACCACATTTGGCATGCACGTCTCCATTCTTTGATGGTTTCAATGTTTTGCTCTCAAATTGATCATCACCCCCCCCCCCTCACTTGAAAACGACACCGTTTAAGAAGAATAATAATGAGTATATTATTCGAACTCTTCCAAACACATAAAAATGATGTTACCTCTTGATTTGATATGATTTGAGCGTAATTTTATTACAATGTGTTTCTGGTCTGATATGATCTGATTTCAATAAGAAAAATTAATACGAAGTAAGTAATAAGAATAAATTGAAGAGAACATGACCTAAAGCTGTGTAACTAACCCAACAAAGTATCATCGGGTCTCGATATCATATTACTCCCTCTGTCTCGTAAAGTTCGTTGCATTTTATTTTTTGGACGTTCTAAAAAATTTGTTCTTACTTTAATCTGTTCTTACTGAATATGTTTTACTAAAAAAATTTCTCTATACTAAACAAATTTCAATAATACATTTTTTATTTTTAACAACATAATCTTAAATCTTGTGATGTCAAAGTATCATAAATTTATGAAATGGACTGAGTATAACACTTGGTGTCAAAAGAACTGTGTGGGTCATTAGAAAAAGAAATCCTGACAGGGTTTTTCCAGCTTTTTTTTTAATTAAAGGATATGTGGACTTGAAAACCCAGAAGTTCATTTAGCTTTGGGAAACAAACGCGAGCCCACCCCATATTACGGCCCAATGGGTCTCCTAGATTTTGAAGGTGCCGAGCCCAACGAGCGCTGACCCAGTTTTTCATTGTTCATCGTTCCCAAGAGACGACTTCATAGAGCAGAGCTTACTGAGCATATCGCCATTTCAGACCGAGAACGGATATGGCTTCGGCTCCTCTTCAAGATGAACAAAATCTCCTTCAAGGTGCGTCCTAATCTTCGTTCTTGTGTAAATTTACTGAATTTCGTCCTGAAATTGGAGTTCTACTGCGCTTATGTTTCACATTTGATGGCTGTTAATCCTGTTATTGAACTCTAGAATCGAGACAATCTGAAAATGTTCCCTTTAGTATGAGTATTTAGTCCCAAAGAGTAATTTAAAATGATGTCATTAGTGATTTGTATCGTCTTGAGAAGTTGCTAGAAGTTGCCATTGCAATTCCAGTAGTGTAATATTTTTTTAGCAACTAGAGTCATTACATTCCAGGTTTTGATAGATAAGCCGTGATTTTCGGTGTTCTTAGGATCTCCGAAGAGAGTTGCAGTGGTTGGTGCTGGCGTCAGGTATCAGATGCTGAATTCCAGCATTTTGATGTTGTTGACTTTTTCTTGTTTAACACGCGATACATATTTTTGAATCTATGAATACGTTTTGAATGCATGTGCTGAGTTTAGATCACTTAGCACCTTGGATTGTGATCATGATGTGATGTTGATAGACTACTTTCTTAACAATAAATAGAGTGAGCTTGGACATTTTTCATGCTTTGTTTTTTTTCATCCTAACTTTGAGCCGATGAAAGAAAATTCATTGTTATCAATTGATTTTATTCTGTTATGGAGATTGGACATTTGATCATGGATATTGCGAATCCACTTGCAGAATTTAGGATTAGTAACAAATTGTTGTTTTCAGTAACCATGACATCATACCTAAATGCAACATTTATGTGGATGGAATTACGGAATTTATTATGTACTTAATGTGATTATATGCCCTTTTAGTACTTTGGTTTTATTCTTTGTGAGGTAGATAAAGAGTGGTGATTTTTTTTTAAAGTTGAGATGCGAATTGTTTTGAATGGAAGCATTGTCCACTAGATGGGTAGGATGTTTTTTTCCGGTGATAATACACCTGTACTTAGTTGAGGGGCAAATTACATTGGATTAGAGCATTGACCATTAAACTGGTTGGAGTGTTGGCTAAATCAGTTAAGACTTAGGAAGAATGATATAACACTACTAATAACAATTATGAAGTGGGGAGCTGAATAGGTAGATTGAAATCCAGTTGGATACTTGGAATAAAGTTATTAAGAGAGATATTCTTACTCATCTGCTTATAATGGAGCTGAACGGATGGTTTTGTTCATGTATCTTATCCCATCTGGACTGGGCTTAATTCTTTTGTAGGATTGACTACACAATATCCTATTACTTGATTCTTTCCTTCATTATGTTGTCTGACATTACATTATTTTCAAGTGGTCTTGCTGCAGCGTTCAAGTTAAAAAACAGTGGTTTGAATGTAACAGTATTTGAAACTGATGGGAGAGCGGGAGGGAAGCTGAGAAGTGTTTGCCAAGATGGCCTAATATGGGACGAAGGAGCTAATACTATGGTATGTTAATTCGTAATTGTGAAATTGTCTCATCCAATCTTGAACGAGTACTGGATTTATTGTATTTGATTTGGTGCAGACAGAAAGTGAACCAGAAGTCCAATCGTTACTGGATGCTCTTGGACTTAGAGAGAAACAACAATTTGTAACAATTCCCGCTTTTACTTCCTTTCACAGTTTGCTATCATCTTTTCTAGGAAAGAGGTTCATTTTCATTTATCCTTTCTGGTTTAAGATGTACTGCTGTTTTACTCTTGTTAAGCAAACGGTTTGGGTTTTGATTTATATTTCAAACATTTTGGCATAACAACTTTGTGGATTAGTTTTATATGTCGTTTGTACTCAGTGACTGCGAATTGTTTTCCATGGTTTTATAATTGCAGCCGATTTCACAAAAGAAGCGGTATATAGTCCGGAATGGAACTCCTGTATTGGTATGACTGGCCTGTGACACATTTTTTAATCAACTTATTACTTCGTGGTTTTGTATTTTGTTATTCGTTCTCTGTTGATTTCATAAGGATATTGTTTTGTTATACTCTTTTATGTTTCAGTTACCATTAAATCCTATCCAGATGATATCAAGCAACTTTCTTTCTGTGGGGTCCAAGGTATGACATTATATCCCGAATATTGAGTAGTCAATTTGTCATTTACTTTTATTATGTTTTTCTAGTATAGTCAGTAGGGGTTTGGTTCCTTTCAAGGCCCATGGATGCCATTAAATATCATACTGTCATCTATCATGGTTGAATGTCATTTAAGCATACAACCATCTCACAATTACTTAAAGTAAAGTTCACTTCCACTTTTAGATGTTTTTCTTAGGCCATTTTCTATCATCCTGCAGCTTCAGATACTCATGGAGCCTTTTTTATGGACGAATAAGAAGCTCCCAAAAGAGTCTGATACAAATGAAAGGTTGTAAAGATTCCTTCATATTCAGTGATCAGTCCTGAAGTGAAAGGGAAGGAGGATAGAAGATTCTACTGTTAGTTATGCGATAAAAAGAAAATGCTGCAAAATTTATATAATTGAAACTCATTATGGTCATGTTCCATAAATTGCATGTTGATTTCACAATATCAATATTGTAAGGGGACATGACTATAACAACGACTTTATCAAATTCATTGCAGAGTCATGATATCTTAGATGCTAGTGGAAATAAAAGATGGTTTTATATTTTTGTTCCTTCTCATTTTTCCTTTAAAAGAAGATTTCAAGAGGAAGTGCATCCAGGGAAAAACTTTGCCATATTTTTTTGCATGAACTTGTAGTGTCAAACAATTTTCAACAATTAACGAACACTATGAATTTCATGCCACCTACCCCAACTAGGTAAAAATGTGAAATTGAGGTTCCAATGATGATAAAGAATTTGCAGTCCAAATAAACATGCAACAAACCCAGTAGATTCCTACAGTGAAGAATTTGCAGTTTGTTGGTGAAATATAAATTTTTAACTCTATAACTTTGTTGACTAACTAAACCATTGATCTAGCTCTTCAAGATAATCAAGTTGAAGTATCTTACTATTTTACCTCATTATTCAGTGTTGGGCACTTTTTTCAGCGTCATTTTGGGAATGAGGTATCACACTGTATTTTGATTCTGATATGAAAGTGAACACCTATATATCTGAGCTTGAAATTGCACATTCAAAACTATTTAAAAAATTCACCTCTGGCCCTTGGGCTGCTTAACCTGCAAGGTTGTGGAGTATCTCATTGATCCCTTTGTCGCGGGCACCACTGGAGGAGATCCCAAATCACTTTCTGTGAGTATTCATTTATGCAACATTGCAACTTATTTTTGTTGGACATTCACTAACTTTTGTCAATTGAGGTTAACATGTTAATGTTAATAAATACCGGAGTACAACTCAAGAAGGCAGAAGCCCTTCAATGCAAATAACCAAATAACCATCTACTAATTTTTACCACGGGGATACAATTCTGGCGTGTAATGTCACATTAAGGATATTGGGAAAGGGTGTATTTCATTTAAATGACAGTTCAATGTTCACTTTTGGTATTAAACATCATTCATGACATATTCACGATTTATTTCCTATTATCAAATAGATGACCCATGCATTTCCAGAACTGTGGGATCTAGAGAAAAGGTACGTTTGGATCATTCATGAACTGTGTGCTACACAACTATTATATAAGTTTCCATTTTATGTCTGTTTTAAAGCTGTGGTCATTAGGTTTGGATCAGTCATATTTGGGGCAATTCAATCTAAGATATCATCCAACAAGAAGAATCAAGGGCCGATTGGTGCTTCAAAGATTAAGCATCAGCGTGGATCCTTTTCTTTTATAGGTGGAATGCAGGTACATTTTATTAACTTTTAACCCATGCATTGAGAGCCAAGGCAAAATTTTGAAAATCAACCTTCTTTCTTTTCTATTCTCTATCATCTTAATAATATCACTTTAGGGATTTCCACAGTACTACTTCATATAACTGTAGTTTTTGTTATTTGGCTGAAAGACTGCTGAATTCTATAGGAACTTTTTAAGTTACATTGATTCAGCTAAATAAGCAGGTCAAGAGATACGTTCTCTTTTTATTCTACTTATTCCAAGCAGAAGAAGCCAATTATATCTTAAATCTTATAAAACGAAGCACAATACATATCATATTTTCATCATGGAAAACCTTTGAGAAAAACCGACCTTTGAGAAAAATCGAATATGATCTTACTATTAGATGTCAGTACGTGCCGCAGACCTACACTAGTTTTTGACTTAAATATCTTTGACTACTATTCGTCCTGCTTTTGTTTTCTGACCCCAATGTTTTGTAGACACTTACAGATGCACTGTGCAAAGAGCTTGGCGAAGATGAACTTAAACTTTCTTCAAAGGTTCTAGAGTTATCTTCTCACCACAAAGAAAACTGTCTGGGTAGCTGGTTAGTTTCTTATGCTTCACCTCACAGAAAACACTCAGTAAAGGAATCGTTCGATGCTGTTGTGATGACGGTGAGTGTCACATTTTCATGATTACAAATTTTCCTTGGGAGTTTTTCAAATGCTAGAAATTCAAGTGCTCACAATCTCTCTATTTTTGTTCAAAACATGCATGTACTGATGTACATACCTAAGTTCATTTCAATTCAAAAAAGTGATTGATAGGATGTAAAGCTTCATGTATATACACACTACACAGGCTCCTCTCTCTGACGTCAAAACCATGAATTTCACTCAGAAGGGAGCTCCATTTTTGCTCAACTTTCTCCCTGAGGTATGGAAGTGAACTGGACTAATTCTCTTAGGTACAAAGAGATAGTGGTTGTAAAGTTTTCTAATAATATAAAGTTTTCAGATGGTCAATGTTGCAAGTTGCGACTAACATTGTTCCACAGGTTGATTATGTTCCTCTATCTATCATGATCACCACATTCAAAAGAGAGAATGTAAAGCGACCCCTCGAGGGGTTTGGAGTGCTTGTACCATCTAAAGAGGAACAAAATGGTTTGAAGACAATAGGTAATAAAACAGCCAGATTTCTTGATTTGATTCCTCTATCTGTCATGATGAGATTTCATTACGTGATATGGTGTGTATAATTAATACTCCCTCCGTTCTCAAAAACTCTTCCTCTTTCATTTTTTTTACTTCCAACAAAACACTTCCACTTTCTATTAAAAAACCACTTTTACCCTTACTTTTTCATACCTTACCTATCACATCATACTTTTTCTCTAATACTCAATCCATCACATCTTACTTTTACCCATCACATCAAGGGCAAAATTGGAAGTCAACTATAATTTAACACTTCCTTATTTTTGCACAAAGTCAAAATAGGAACACTTTTATAGAACGGAGGGAGTACTTCGTAGCTATTTTCCTCTTAATAGAGATGTCCTGAGATGTGTGAAGTTATATCTTATCATGTATCTTCAATTTTGAAAATCTTTGAGCTAACAGCCTAACACACTATTCTTATAATAAAAAATAGCCACCATCCCCGACCACTTTCCCTCCAAAACCCCATTCCCAAACAATAACATAATGCCTGTTTACCATTATCCTGATTTACTATCTTATATGCACTTATGCAGGCACTCTATTCTCTTCCATGATGTTTCCAGATCGAGCACCAAAGAATGTTTATCTTTACACTACTTTTATTGGAGGAAGTCGAAATAGGGAACTTGCAAAAGCTTCAAGGTTTACTTATATGCATTTGACCTAGGAGTTGCAAAAGAATCCATTTGCTCATAGTCTATCCAGGAACATTAACACTATGTATGGTTCAAGGAATTTGAAAGGGAAAATAGAAGAAAATGAGATGGAAAATAGTTTTTCTTGTTTGGCTAGAGAGGAAAAGAAAAGAAAAGTGGAACAAAAAGAAAATGAGAAGGCAAAATGTACTAAGAGGAGGGAAAACCAAATTCCTCTCATTTTGATGACAAAAATGAGAGATACCCAATTTCTTTTCTTTTCTTTCCAAAATCCTTGACCTAAACATAGTGTAATGGCAATGGATTTTTTGGATCTAATCCATGCTTTGAATTATTTGGATGGTTAGTTATCCATCCATAATTATTTTTGATACCTTGGATCATATTTTAAAAATATTTTGATTCCATGGAAAAAAATGTTTAATGTGTCATGTATGGGATGGTTTTTTAAATGGATCATCAAGTATTTTATAAGATTTTTTAATGGATGAAGTGGATCATAAGTTAATGGATCAATGTAATCAGAATGAATATTTATCCATTCGAAATTTGCACATTGTTTTTTGAAATGAGTATATTATTGCAGGGATGAACTGAAGGAGATTGTATCTTCTGACCTTAAGCAGTTGCTGGGTGCGGAAGGAGAGCCAATGTTTGTAAAGTATGTAAATTGTGATGAATGGAACAAAAGGGTGTAAATTTCTGCTTTAGTATTGATGGATGATATGCATTTCATTATTGTAGCCATGTCTTCTGGAGTAAGGCATTTCCTTTGTATGACCATAACTACGGGTCAGTCCTGGAAGCGGTTGACAGGATGGAGAAGAACCTCCCCGGATTTTTCTATGCAGGTAACACATTTCTACCAGCTACCTCTTCTTTTAACTAGACTAGATGGGCATAAAGGAATTAGCTCACGTTTGGGCTAAAACTTCTACTACAACAACAACAGACCAGTAAATTCCAGAGTGTGGGGATATTGGGAGGATGTGTGTACGCGAATGGGGTCTGGGGAGGGTGTGTGTACGCAGACCTTACCCCTACTCAGAAACACTGATAGCAAATGGGGTTTGGGGAGGGTGTGTGTACGCAGACCTTACCCTACTCAGAGACACTGATATATCAGCTTGGCCCGCTTACATCCGAATGTATCTACTTTTATGAACATCGAATGAGTATTATATAACTCGTAAATGTGCATACACTAATTTTAAAATGTGCACGCTCTTAGTACGTATAAAAACATAAACCTGCAATTTCATTGCTAAAACATCATTTTTATTCTCTCATTGATAGGAAGTGTTATTAACAACGAAATGAACATGATGCATCCATTGAATGTGTATGTGTCAATTTAACAGTGTGTATGTTCCAAGTGTATGCAAGGAAATAATTGTGCGAAATGAGAATTCTTTAACTTGTAAGTGAACGTATGCCGGACCTACAATAAGCACCGTATATCCGGACGTATAATATAGGAAATCAAGTATGTGATTTCTATTTATCAGGTAACCATAAGGGAGGACTGTCTGTAGGCAAAGCAATATCATCTGGTTGCAGTGCAGCTGATCATGTCATCTCATATTTGGAATCTTCTTCAGTTGAGCCTCAGAAATAGCCTTTGCCTTGATTGAGGTTCTTCTTTCATGTCCCTTCTGTCAACATATTTGGGATCCAAACACGCCCTAAAGGCATGATAGTAGAAATTTGGGTTTCATTTCTCAACTGTCCCTCACGTTGAGAGTTGAGACATTTTTCTGTTGTAAAAAAATGTTTCCCCATGTTGTATCCTCCTGATTTTATTATTATTATTATTATTATTATTATTATTATTATTATTATTATTATTATTATTATTATTATTATTATTATTATTATTATTATTATTATTATTATTATTATTATTATTAGTTTATTACTACTACTTCCCATGTCTCATCATTTAATTCATACTCTTCTAATATGTGCACTTTTTCGTATAAAAAATATTTTTTATTTTTAATATTTAATAAAAAATAAATGCTTATCAAAGTAGTTAGAATTTATTTATTTCTCATATATGTAGGTCTATGGTGGACTTTAAGTCCACCATAGAATTTTGCCTAAATTTTAATGTTAATGTCATGAGAATTGGAGAGTTGTTTCATAACATGTACAATTATGTTCGAATTTAATCGTTAACTTAAAAAAAATCATTATAATGACAAGCAAATCCTTCAATTGTCATTCATTCATCTTAATAATGAGCGAGTGTTATGACTTGTTGAAATTCCATTCATTCTTCTAATTATTTTCTTTTTATGAAATCGCAATTCTACCGACCATATCGAAAATGGATAACGTTAAACGTCCTCCTCATTTAAGACATGACCACCGACACATAATACATGGCGGGATATCGCTATATTTGTTGACTTTTTTTTTTATCTATTTGGTGTTTTTCTTTTAACACAATTTTTTTAATAGTTAGGGGTACACAAAATTTGTATTACTACCTATACATTAATTGGAATTTCATAGTTGGGTATTAGAAGAAATTGGAAAAAACTAGGAGTTGGAAAATGATGAAAGAATTTAAGTGTGAAAAAGTTACTCAATTAAATGATCATTCAAATAAATATTTATGTAAGGAAGCTAAATTTTTAGATGACAAAGAATTCGTCATTGTCCGTGTTTGAAGTGATATATATTACTATGTTATTTTATATTAATTATATATAAATACCTTTTTAAGCCATTTTTGAAAGAAATTGGAGGAAGTTGAAAGTAATTGAAAGAAAATAAAAGAACTTGAAAGTTAATTTTTCTAACCCAAAAGAACACAGTCCAAGTGTATTGCAGACACACAGTCCCACAAATACTTCCTCTGTCCTAAAACTTTCTTCTCGTTGTGCAAAACGAAGAAAAATCTCAAGTTTTTTCAATCTATTTTATTTAAATATTGGTATAGAAATAAAAAATAAAACATACATATTTAAAAACTACATCAAAAGTTTAACAAAACAAGTGGTGACGAGAATATTTTATTTTATCATATAGGTCATGAAAAACACAAATAAATATAAATTCCCGTGATGTTGGAATAGTACTATGGGAAAATAGTTTTAGGACGGAGGGAGTAACAATTATCTGTGCGGTACACAGACAAGTATTATCTGCGTGTGTCTGTGATACACTTGATGTACAAGTTGAAATGGAAACTTAGTAGAGCTTATTTTTTCTTTCATAAAAATCCATTTTTGACATAACATATCGAATAAGAGTAAACCAAAATGTTTGTCAATTGCCACACGCATATCACTTCTTTTTTGGATCTATAATTTGCATATGTTTGTGAGAGAAGTCACACAAAATGTATAGATATCACCCAAACAACAAATTAAATGTGCATAAAAACAAAAACAAAAAAAAAATCATATATATAATGTACTAACATGGGCAATACGCTCGGGTAATACATAGTCCGTATCTACCATGCCCTTTTGTCCACCTTAGATTTCTCTTTTTGTGATTTACGGAGTATATTAATAAAATATCTCATTCATTTTAATTTTATCCTTTGTCCAAAAGTATACTTCCTATTTTTTATTTTAATTTAAGTTGTCTGTTTTTTACCCCTATTTAACTAAAGAAAAATACTACTAATAATAGTTTGGCGAGTGAACTTCTTAATCCTATCACTCCAGAAATATGAAAATGCTCAATAATAATAATAATAATAAAACTCAATTGAAAAAAATACTTAGGAGGAAAGGAATTAAAAATAGAGATTTCCCTTTTAAAAAAGACTGAATGAAGATGAGTACCAAAAAAAGCGAAGATTAAATAAGAATTTTCTTTAAATCCCTTCTAAGGTTATGTTGTGAACGGTGTGCGTTAGGTTTATCTCACGCCGGAAAAATCAAACAAATAACATTCTCATATAAAAAAAGATAAACTCTACCTACTATGGAGTAGTTTAAATTTTTGGATAGAAAATAAATTCAGACTTCATATAAATAAATGGTCAAATTTCACCCAATATTCTATCCAATTAAATTCCAACTAGTCAAGTTCCAATGAACTGAAAGTCGCCCACCGACTCCCAAAACAAAAACCCAAAAAAGGTGACGAGAATGAATGAGTTGCTACTTGTCTCACTCCACTCCCAAATCTCCTGAAACTCGCTTCCTTCCGCTTGTAAGTGTCTTCTTATTTTACTATGCCCATTTTTCCCCTACACATTTCATGTCTTGGCATTCACTAATTGCGTGTTTTTGTGCTGCATACCATTGTAATTAGCTAATTTGGACTTCTTGCTGGTTTGGGAATCCCTTTTTTTCCCTACCCATTTTTGGCAATTTGTAAACCGTCGTTTTGGGTTTTTTTCCTTCTAGTTCTTGGTTTCTGAAATTGGAAGTTTGGCTGTTCTTGGTTGCTGAAAGTGTATGGCAGATTGGGGCCAACCAGTCAAGCATTAGGTGGGGCAATTAATGCTAATTGTTGCAAATTAAAAAAAGATTTGATCTTTGTGTGTGTGTGTGTGAGAGAGAGAGAGAGAGGCAGTGTTTTAATTGTTGTTTCATGTATCGATTTGCTCAGAGAGAGTGGGGAGCAGTTGCAAGCTGCAACAATGGTTTTGGGACATAGTGCCAACAAGGCGCGGGGAAGCCCATCACTCCAACTTGATTACCTAATCAACATTCTTGAAATAAAGCCTTGGCCTCCCTCTCAAGCGTTAAGTTCGCTTAAATCTGTTGTCATCCAATGGGAGCACGGAGAGAAGAACTCGGGTTCAACTAGTCAAGTTGCCCCGGTTCTTGACCCCGATTCCAGCATTGGCAGTGGAAGGATAGAATTCAACGAGTCGTTTAGGGTCCCCGTCACACTAATAAAGGAGATTTCGGTTAAATCTGGAGGGAATTCGGATAATTTCCAGAAAAACTGCATTGAGTTCAACCTGTATGAGCCACGGAGGGACCTGGCCGCAAAGGGTCAGCTGCTGGGAACTGCTGTTATAGATTTTGCCAGTTACGGGATTGTTAAGGACAGTTTGAGTGTGAGTGTTCCGATCAGCTGCAAGAGGGCTTACAGGAACACTGTGCAGCCTCTTCTGTTCTTGAAAATCAAGACGGCTGGGAGGAAGAGTGGCGGGAAATCAGTGATGAGAAGCTGGAGGAGAGAATCGTCAATGGACAGTAGTGTTGGGGACTCTGTTTCTTCATTGATGAATGAAGAGTATGCCGAGGAAGCTGAGACAATGGCTTCGTTTACAGACGATGATGTTTCTCCACACTCATCATCAATTGTCTCTTCAGGTGTTGAGTCAAAGTTCAGTTCATCAGCAGCTCACAAAGAGGTATGTTGATTGCTTTTTTAATACGGAGTACTCTTTTTAGTTTTTACCCGTCCTCTTAGCATTGCTCTTTGGTTTCAGTTTATACATTTCTTTAAACATGAATGATGCAAATGCGGGAGCAGAAGAACAAGAAAAGATGGGAACATGAAAAGGTTGTGTGTGTTACACAACCTAAGCTTCAAGAACAAGAGAAAAGATAGATGGAAGATAAATAGGAACTTTGTCGAGTTCTCTAAAGGATAATCGGCCAAGAACGTTGAAAAAGGGTCCTAGAGTTGCACCACAATCTTTCAAAGGAATTAATTATCAAAGATTGATAAAGAACTCTAATGTCTTGAAGAACTTTGGTTTTTTTAATAATTAAAATTCATTGACTAAGTACAAAGCATTTCTCCTTCATTTAAGTACAACTCTAGGACCCTTTTTTCACATTTGGGTACAACTCTAGGACCCTTATTCTCCCACATCAATGTTTTTTTCCATGACTGATTTTTGAATAGTGTTGCTTCTCCTATACCTTCAAATAAATTATAATTTTTGATAATAATAATAATATGGAGAGTTGGTGCAGAACGGATCCGAGGGAGGGAAAAGTGGACCTGCAGAAGCTGAACATGACCGCAATTTAGGTTCAGAGCACACGGTTAAAAATTTAGCCAAGAATCTAGCAGCTGAACCAATATCAACCACGAACGGAAGTTCTGCAGATTTGTGTTCTGATATTGACTGGATATCAAGGAAACTCACTACCCGCAGTACTATCCAATCAACATTGCTAGAAAACACACAAGACCTAGTAGTAGAAAGAGGCAAGAACCCAGAAACCGGAGAAGGTGCAGAAGCAATGGAAGAGAAAGGGCAACACTCAGATGGTAATGTACTAACGTTGAATGATAAAACTAGCAAGTTATTGATATTTCCTTTTTTGACCACCTATTACTAATTACTATAACATGTATATGTTCAGCAAATGCTAGTGGCAGAAAAAGCTTTGAAGCAGAGAATATTGAAAGATCAAACCATGTGGACTCTCACTCCTTGGGGAAATTGCATAATAGCAATGGATCTGTCAGAAGTGATCAGTTTGTCTTGGAAAGGAAATGTGAAGTGTTAGAGAAGAAGATAGAAATGCTTGAAGGGGAACTGAGAGAAGCTGCTGGCATTGAGATTGGTTTGTTCTCTGTGGTGGCTGAACACGGAAGCTCTACGAATAAAGTCCATGCCCCGGCTCGGCGCCTCTCTAGGCTTTATTTTCATGCGTGTAAGGAAAAATGTTTGCTAAGGAGACAAAGTGCAGCTAGAAGTGTTGTTTCTGGATTAATGTTGGTTGCAAAAGCCTGTGGAAATGATGTTCCCAGGTGATGTTCCGTTTTTTCCCGTAATATGCACTTTTCTTTTTAGCCCAAACCTCACTAACTTTTCGCATTTCCCATTGTCCTTCATTTCAACTTTCTATTTGGTGAGCCGTGGATCTCTTGGAAACAGTCACTCTACTTCATAGTAGAGTTAAGTTCTGCGTATGCACACCCTCCCCAAGGGCCCAGACCCTACTTTTTGTGGGATTTTACTGGGTTTGTTGTTGTTGATGTGTTGCCTAGTTCTCTTTATAATATCGAGATTAACTCTCGAGTAAAATTAAAAAACTATTACTTTTATTTGTTTATTGGCTCTCTATTACATTGTGTAAGTCTCAAACTGACCCCCCTTGCTCTCCCTATGGCAGATTGACTTTTTGGCTGTCAAATTGTATTCTGCTGAGGGCAGCAATTTGCAGTTTCTGTAAAAAGCAGAAATTAGCATTTCCTTCTGAATGTACTAGAGATGATGCGGTAAAGAATGAGAGGAGGTCGTCTCCATTCAAATCCATGCCCAAAAATAATAATGGAAATGATCTTCCCGGGACATTTGAAGACGGGGAGAACCCTTATGCCTTTGTAAAAGCACTTGAAAAGGTTGAATCTTGGATAGTTTCTCGGACCATTGAATCTCTTTGGTGGCAGGTCCCTCTCTCTCTCTCTCTAAAAGAGTTTTCAAGACTTTAAAAGTATAAAAATTTAATCTTGTTGCATTCTTCCAGACTTTCACTCCATACATGCAGCCTGATGCTACCACAAAGTCAGGCGGCAAAAGACCTGAAAACGTTTCTTTGGAACTTTGGAAGAAGGCCTTTAGGGATGGCTATGAAAGGATGTGTCCTCTTCGCGCCGGAGGGCACGAGTGTGGATGTCTTCATCTACTCTCTAAACTGGTACTTATTTTGCTTAATAATCTTTCTATTTTGGAAGAAGGCACATGCTCAAGTGAAGGGAGAAATGGTCACAATTAAGTATTGAGAATGTTTAGCCAAATTAATTCCGTTTAGTTGTCAATGAACAGATAATGCAGCAATGTGTGGGTAGATTGGATGTGGCTATGTTCAATGCTATCCTTCGGGAGTCGGGTGATGACATCCCAACCGATCCGGTTTCAGACCCCATCAGCCATATGGAGGTTCTTCCCATTCCCCCCGGAAAAGCAAGTTTTTCAGCTGGTGCCCAACTCAAAAATGTGGTGAGACTCAGACCATCATTTGCTTATACTTGTGCATCTATATTTCATTATATGACACCCGATCCATTTGGGGGCTCTACAGTGCTCTGTATGGTTTCAAAGTGGTTCCTACCNCATTCTGCTGACAATCTACCGTCAAAACCCGCCATTTGGGTGATTGAGTTTGTGGGGTATGAACCACTTCAGAATCGAACTAAACATCGTAGAGCTCCTAAATGGACCGGTGTCATGTTATGACACTAGCCCTTGGTGTTAAAAGAACCAACTCAACATCTTTTAATTGAATATGTTACATTATTACCGATTTACTGAATTGTGAGAATCTGTGGATTAGATTGAAGTTAGAACATTGTTTTTTCTGTGTGGGTCCCAGATCGGGAACTGGTCGAGATGGCTAGATGATCTTTTTGGTATTGACATCGACGACGAAGACGAAGATGAGGTTAGTGAAAAGAATGCAGATGATAACAACAAAGACGAGAGAGGAAGAAAAGAGAAATGCTCAAAAAAGCCTTTCTATCTTCTTAATGCATTGAGTGACCTAATGATGCTTCCCAAGGACATGCTACTGAGCAGCACAACAAGAAAAGAGGTTTGATTCATTCATCCATTAGATTCTTTTAGAGTATAAAGCCTTTCGTTGTCCTTAAAATTGTAGGCCCTCGAAAGGTTTTTATATTTTAAAACACCGCTTACGTGCACACGTGGCTGCTTCGAGTCTTACATATGAAACCTTAGTATTTCCAAAGCTGTGTGGTGGTGAGACTCGAAGTTCGAACTTATGACCTCTTGGTCAATAAGGCTTTGATACCGTATCAAGGAATCAGTTCAATGAAAGCGCAAACTTGTGGTCGTATATGCCCAAGAAAAGTTTTTATATTCTAACAATAATTCTTCCCGTCCCTCCTCCTTCAGGTATGCCCCACATTTAGCGCCTCGCTGATACGAAGGGTTCTCAATGTCTTCATCCCGGACGAATTCTGCCCGGACCCCATACCTAACGGCGTTCTAGAATCCCTCGACTCAGACGATCGGTTTGAAGAGGGCGTGACAAGCTTCCCGTGCACGGCACCTCCCGTTGCTTACGTGCCACCCTCGATGGCCGCACTTGGCGACATCATCGGCGACAACAGCAACAACCGTTTTCAGCTGACGAGGAGCGGATCTTCGGTGCTCAAGAAATCTTACACGAGCGACGATGAACTCAATGAGTTGGACACGCCTCTGAATTTCTTCACCCACGAATTTGATGGCGGTGAGATGGCGGCGCCGCCGCCACCCTCAAGAGGAGGAAGTGGGAATGGTGTTAGGTATCAACTCCTGAGGGAGGTCTGGTTGAGGAGTGAGTGATAGTTACACTGCCTGTGCTTTACTAAATTTGGATTGTGGTATATGTACATATATATAAATAATGCAATTATGATTAGTATTATTTGAGTGGTTTTGTTTAATATGTGCATTGGCAAGCATGAAACTCTAAAGTCTTTGTATGAGACTTAATAATAACATTTTTAATTATCGTTAGCATTTTCATCACTCTTTTATGTTTTATGTCCACTAATTTTATATAAAATTAAAATAGCAATACAATATCATTATACTCCGTAATATGGAGTACATTGCAAAGGAGGATTTTCCACTTTGCTTAAATGTGTTTGGGAAATCGAAGTTAACACGGATTTGTTTGAAAGTCGTGCAAATACTTTCAGATTAATTATTTTGGATGGTCAATCTAAAAATCAATTGGATAAAACTCAAATTTTGACAAGAACATGTATAAGTTGATTATGAGTTTTTGAACTCTACCATCGACCATGTTAAATACTTCCTCCGTCCCTAAATATTTGTCACACTTGTATTCTTGAGGTAAAATATCAAGTTTTTTCAATTCATTTTATTTACATATTGTCAAGAATATTTTATTTTATCAAATAACCAATCAAAACGTAGAAATAAACAAAAGTTCCCGGGACTGCTCAAAAAGCAAACGTTGCAAATATTTTGGGACGGAGGGAGTATATTAAGTATATTTAATATATAATTCTTCTTCAGACCAAGAGCTTTTCCGGATTCTTATAGATGCGGAAGGAAGGATTGAGATGCGGTCGCGTCTTTATCTAAATTCACGTCTAGTTGCGCGAAACGTTAGAAAAACGTATACATTTTTCCAAAATATTTCTTTAACTAAAAATCAAAAATTTAAAATTCAAATGAATTTCTTAACACAGCTTGAACCCTGCTGCCGTCCTTGAACCTTGTACCCCCGCGCGAAGTGGGCGCTGCCCCGTTGGAGACCCGTTAAAATAACACTTTTATCATAACAAATTCAAGAAAGCGTGCACTTCACCAAATTTCTTTAATGATTATTATGATATCACTGGTCAAATAATAATTCTAATTACACTAAACTATATAACAAAATGCTGCACATTAGTATTAATTTTTTCAAAATTAGGCGGTGGTAAGAATTAATCCTCCAAATAAGACGAAATTTGGGAATTAAAAAAAAGGATTAATGAATGAAATGGAAGAATGATTTACTCCCTCCGTCCCAAATTATAATGTCTGTTTACTATTCACGGGGTCAAACTTCATTCACTTTCTTTCTCTATTTTCGTTAACAATTTGATAAAATAAAGTATTATTGTCAGTACTAGTTTTGTAGATCTTTTGATGTAGTTTTTAATATGTAATTTTTATTTTTTAATTCTATACCATTTGTCATATAAAATGGTTTGAAAATAATTTCAGTCAAACATCGTAAACCGAAACAGGCGTTATAAATTGGGACGGAGGTACAATTTAAGCAATGAAATGTTATCAGAGAAAACCACATAGAGAGAAGAACAGTGCTGCAGTGGTAACGCCAATGGCGGCCGACGACAGGCGGCCGGCAGCACCGCTAGACTGGTGGTTTCCGATGTGGGGAACCACTGGAAACGCACGCGCTCCATTGCCATTCCTCCAGCCCCTGGTTCCGCCGCCGGTGATGGGTGTCGCGCTCCCGCGGCCCCAGCCGCCTCCAGCTCCTCGAAGTCCTCCACGGAAGCCGCCGCCGCCGCCGCCTTTAGCTCCTCCGGAGGTGACGAGGAGGCAGACGGTGCAAAAGACCAGCATAACCTTCAACAACACTTGATGATCATTCATTTTGAAGTTTGTTTGTTAATATATGTGGATTTATTTATTTATTTATGTGTATATATATACAGAGCATAAATGGTAGTAACCCGGCCCACCAAGTTTAATTTTACACGGTTTGAAATTTTGGTTGGTATCAATTATACGGAGTATTTATTATGTTTCTTATTTTTTTGTGTAAAGTTAAAGGTAAATTTTTTTTATGCATGGATAACCCGGAGGGTATGCAATGTGTCCACCCGCACATAGCTCTCAAATTTTTAGGACAAAATATTGTTATACGTTCATTATTTATATTTTAGTCTCTCCGTCCCACTTTAGATTACAATATTTCCTTTAAGTTGAAATTAGGGAAGAGTCAAATCAAATTTTTTTCCCAAATTACCTCCCAAATCCCTCCAAATAGTGTGAATAATGGCTGGCAGAAAAGAAAAAGGAAGGGTAAAAGAGTCAAATCACTATAAAGTTATTGACTTTGTAATCCTTTTTGGGACAAAAATGTGAGAGAATATTATAATCTATTTCGGGACGGAGTGAGTAATAATTAAAGTGTACAAGTATTCCACACAAAGCGAAATATGGTGCAACACATGATTTTTGCACAAGACCAATTTTACTTTTTCACATTTCTGTTTTAATGGGAGGGAGGGAGTGTAGAGTAAGTAGCTAGTAGGGCTTATTTGAAAAAGAAAAAAAAATCCCTTGGTTACCTTAAAAAATTTACTCCGTACAATTTAAATTTTTAGTCAATTTTCTAAGAAAATAGCTTCAAATTATAAAAAAAATTACTCCCTCAGTCCGAAAATATTCTTCCCAATTCCTTTTTAGTCCGTCCGGAAATATTCTTCCCATTTCCTTTTTTAGTATGCTTTTTAAGGCTAAATATCAATTATACCCTTCTATTTTATCACAAATATACTTTTTTAATACTTTTTTAATAATAAAAGGATATTTAAAAGTTTATGGTAAGTGCATTTTTAAAAATTTTGCATTTTTTTACTATTTTTTAATAAGCGTGCCAAGTCAACACGGGAAGAAAATTTCCGGACGGAGGGAGTAGTTATAACAAAATTGACAGTAGCGGGCCAGGGCTTGAGCAGGGTTGTAACCCACCCCGAAACCATTTTCGTATGGGATCCCAAATTTTAATTAATTGATTTTTGAGATACGCCAAAGTCCATATGAATGTAGTAATCAATATAATTAAACTTCGATTCCCATTCAAACTCCAATTGAATGCTTGCTTGTTCAACAAAAAAAATAACATAAAATTTAGGAACACAAGCATCTTTTAATATAGTTTAGCACATACTACCTCCGTTCCATTGTCTTTGTCCACTTTTGACTTTTGGAACTGTTCATCTAAGCAATTTGACTCATTAAATTCTCTCAATGTGTAAGCCTAAAAATAGCCATGTGTAATCTTGTTTGATTCGTCTTAACATATATGTTATTAATATATAATTATTTAATATACAAATTGCAAGATAAAATGGATTAAAGAAGTGCATTGGACGGTGTGCCAAAAAGTAAGTAGACAAAGACAGTGGGACGAAGGGAGTATGTCTTATTGTCTAGTCTAGTGACTCATATCACATCCGATATTTTATCATTTTTGAAACAATATATCCACATATAATCCGTACAATGTTTGACATTGGATTTAGAGTTTAATTTATTTGTGATAGAATTTAGGATGAGGTAGTGATAACTGGATTGGGTAATAAGACACTTGGATTGAACCACATTAAAAGATTGAATTCAATCGATTAGTTAGTTCAACTCTAGAGCTTATATACCGATTATTTTCTCTTGGATTTTCCGATGTGGGATGTACTCTAACAATTTGTTTTTAAAAATGTTGTATTTTCAACGCTAAATTGTATTTTTAAAGAGAATTTAAAAGGATAAGGTTAATTACAAAAGTTATTATCCGTGGCTCTATCCACGATTAATTTGGCACCCACTCGGAAACTAAGAAAAAGACAATATAATACTCCCCAATTATTTGTTATCAAATTTTGATTATCCTCAATTCATAATTTCTTTTTTATTTGTATTCGTCTTCTCTTAATCATTTTACATCACCTTGATTATTAATGATGTCCCAATAGATCTAATTTTTAAAATTCTACACTTTTCTATCCAAAAATTTTCTATTTCTTAATCTTTAAAAATATATTTATAATTCACATGTCCGTTGATGTCTTTATACGTCAAGAGCCTATCTTAATTTTATAAAACGAGAAATCAAGTTTTCGAAACATTAAAATCTAATAAAAACTCGATATTTCAGGAAAATATCGAATTTGTTGGAAATTTGTCAATTGCAAATTTGCACTTAGGGTCCCATTTAAAACTGCAACTTATTTTCAATTAGCTTATTATATTAATCATTAGGTTAAAATCACACCAAATACTCCGTACTACTCCTTAAACTAATCAATGAAATCAATCTACTGTAAAATTAATGTTAAAACGAATCCTTAAATTAAAATTCAAACAATGTGTGTTTAACTCTGTCATTAATATTCGGGTTTAAAAGGAAATTACGTTGATAATATAGGAAAGGAAAATTCAATAAAAACCACATATATGAAATTGACTAAAACATTACAAACAGGAACCTTGTTGGCAAAAAAATTAATATAGAATGCAGAAATTTGTATAAATAGATTAAATGCTACGGAGTATTTGTAGAAATACATAGGGAAATGCTTGATTTACAAATACAATGGTCACAAACTTACAATTTGTGAATTTTAATAAAAAAAATTTAAATAGTCTAAAAAAAATTTAAAATGAAAATTTAAACCATAAATAGTAAGTTTGTGATCATTCTGTTTGTGAACCTATCATTGCTCAAATACATATGCGAGTGTTTATGAAGATATGTTTCATTGTAAAGTACTTCTATGATGCACCTTTGGTGTATACAATTTTTGTGGACTTTCTTACATAAACAATTTTTTTTATTAAAGAAAACAAATGCTAATTAAAGTAATAAAAAATGTTTATTGTATCTATATGTAGATCCATGGTAAACTTTAAGTTAAGGTATACTATAAAATTTGCCCTTGGGTAAGGGTGTATGAATATCTAGAGTGGGCGTTCCAAAATAATAGATCACTTTTAGACATATTAAATTTGATACTCCGCATTATTTATAAAAACATTTAAATTTAAAATAAGTAATTAAAAATAAAAAAATGGAAAATATTTAAAATGATATTACATTTCATTTTTTTTATTTGAAATAATTTTCCGAAATATATATTTTGTTACACATGAAGTGGAGAGTTGCCACATGCCACCAATGAAGGTGGGGTAGTAGGGTCCACCATCCTCTTGTTCATTCATAAGGCTGACACCCATTACGATAACTTCGCTTTCAAGGCCCAATTAACAGTCCAAATTACCCATTACCCCACTTTCTTCTTCTTCTTCTTCTTCTTCAATATTCGTCCCCATATCTTCTTTCTTCTTCGATTCTTTAGGGACGATTATTTTTAAGGCCTGTTTGGCGGAGGAACCAATATGGGCTCATGTGCTTCTTCGGCTCACAGAGACCAAGAAACGCAGATGAAGAGGCGCATCGGCTCCAAACTGAACAACCTCGTCACTCCGTCGCCCGTCGACGGCGACTGCAAGGTCACCGCCTCCGATCGTCCGCCTAAATCGCCGCCGTCTCCACTTCTCCCGCCCGCGGCTGCTTCTGTTGACTCTGGTTTGATTCCTTGACCAATAATAATTCATGAAATCCATTCATTGGCTTCTTTTGTTACTGTGGGTATTCTTGTCTTTTCGTTTATATATTTCTATTTTTTTTCGATAAAAATGCTCCCTGATTTTTATTATTTGTCTAATTTTAGAATCAGACAAGTTTTAATTATTAAATCTGTACTGTTACATATTATTATATTGATTAAATTTCTTTTTTTTTGAAGGATAAATCTATTAAAATCATTTTTGTATTGTCATATAACATTATTTTTATTTAACTATTCATCCAAATGATTTTTCCCAAAAAAGTTATTTCCTCTATGCTTAACAGATGGTTACAGTTTGACTATTTTTGTTAAACCGTTGCACTTTTTGATCGTAAATTATGGAAAAAACATATTTAGTTACAAAATGTTTCTTCTGTGCACTGAGTGTATATCATTTTTGTGGATTTTCTCACATAATTTTTTTTAAATATTTTATTCAAAAAAGTAAATCTTTAAGTATATAGTAAAGAAATGCTTATTTTGTTCATACGTAGATCTATGGTGAACTTATCCACCATAAAATTTGTCTTAGTTATAATGTAAATTTAGTAAAATTAGATTTATTTTAAAATATAGTTTTGAAATACAAAATTTTATAAAATTTAATTATTTTAAATTGTGTTTAATTTATGGTCAAATGATGCTACAGTATGACTAAAAAAATTCAAATTGTATCAATTTTTTAGAAAGGGATGAATAATTTCTGAAAATCGTCAAATTCTTGAAGCCCAGAAATTCGGCACTATTTCCTCAAAAGTTGTGTCCAAAAAAGGTTTATTTTTAATTTTAAAAAAACATTTTTCCAACATACTCCGGCAATTTTTAGGTCGGGAACCAGTGAACCACTTATGAACCTCATAATTTAATATGGAATTATAGGCTTTTTTGGATTTTATTTTTAGATTTAATACGGAGTATTTAAAAAAAACCGTTTCTGGTTGAACATGGAAAGCCCGTTTTTTGTCCTCAAAAGTTGTGCTCGGTAACGCTTTCGGTTGGTCAATAAAATTACAGTATTTAAAAAACAGGGAGTATTTTTCGTGTCGAAAAAAAGTTAAATTGTATTGTTGGTTCTAACGAAAAAATTAATGAAAGAACCAACCATACAACATTAACATGACTTGAAAGACTATTCGTGAAATTTTTAAAATTGAAAAATTGGTGAAATCTAAACATGGTTTGGAATTGATATCTTTCATTATTACAATCTTTCTAATTTAAGAGGCCGGTTCAAATGACATTGAGAACCAATGTCATGATATGACCCGGGGGTGCTCCGGTGCCCCGTTCGTAAAATTGACGGTTCTTACCCCCCCTAACTCTCCCGGTAAACCCCCCACTACGCCCCGACCCTAACGCGGTCTCCCACTCCCTTCAATTGCACCCCCAAGTTGATTTTGACTTTGGAGTCAAAATTTGACTCTAAAGTCAAAATCAACTTGGGGGTGCAATTGAAGGGGGTGGGGGGCCGCGTTCGGGTTGGGGCGTGGTGGGGGGTTTACCGGGGGGTTAGGGGGGTAAGAACCGTCAATTTTACGAACGGGGCACCGGAGCACCCCCGGGTCATCCCATGACATTGGTTCTCAATGTCATTTGAACCAAGGTGCTAAATTAAAGAGTTTTGATATTTTTTGAATTTGATATGAGGTTTCGTTATCTCCCTTCATCGCCGGCAACCTTCCCACACTTTCCACTTTCATTTAAAACTTGATAATTCATTTCATTTTTTTTTTCAAATTTTAGAAGTCATGTCATATAAACTCTCTAAGACGACCCTTAGGTGTTAATTTTGGAAATAATACTACAATTACCCCACGGATGACATCACATGAAGAGTGTCACACCTAATTTCTCAAACTTTGTGTCATCTCTGAAATTAATCTGAAATTAATGTAACTTTTTTCATTAATTATTGCATGATGATATTTTATCCCTGAATTGGTCAAGAAGGTAAAAAAAGAGGGTCAAAAAGACAGTCCAACAACAAACTGCAGTAGGAACAAAAAGATCTGCAATTTGTGAAAAAGTAATAAACATTAGTTATATGTTGCCTGCTTGGGTAAAATCTTTTCACCACCATTTCCATTGGGTAAAATCTGTAACTTGCCTTGGGATTCATCTTTCTTTCACAACTATTCACTTAAACTTTGTCAAAGAACCAACTCAAGAAAAGCTCAAGCCTATGGCTCTAGGCCCTGCATTGAGCTTGAATGAAAGGTTCTTGACATGGTATCAGAGCTTTTCAAACTTAAAGGTCACAAGTTTGAATTGCATTAAAAGTTTGTTGTTGTAGGCGCAGGAAAGATTTTATACTAAAAAATTTAACCCGCGTTTGTAATAAACGTTAGAATTGTTAGTGATTTTTTCACCCCATTGTTAGTGATCATATATGGGAAAAAGACTAAAATAAGAGTAAAACATTGAAAATATATCAAAATAGGATTGTCGTGTTTTTATTCCCGAAATAGGAGTAAAAGTGCATTTATATTACCAAACATGGTCATGTACATTACCAAAAAGTATAGTAATGTGCACATGTACACTGCCACATTACCACCACATTATCACAGTGCGAACGTCTATTTCAGAAATAAAAACATGAAATTCTTATTTTGGTACTTTTTCTATTTTTTTAGTCCTATTTAACGTGATTTCTAATCATATATTCACCCCATTGTTTTTGAGGTTGTTACAGACAGGGAAGACGAAAAATTCTTTGATTCCCAGCTTTATTTGGAGTCTGATTGTGATGATGACTTCCATAGTGTTAAAGGAGGTGAGTTCAACACTCTCTTGTGAATCTGATACTACTTTTTCACTCTACCTTAACAATATTTGTTGAATGGACAACAAATGAGGTTTCAAAAATTGCAAATAAGTACCTCGAGATTTTACAAATGCAGATTTCACACCGTCGAGAGGGAGCACGCCCATCCATCACAGGTTCTCGGCGGGACCCATGTCGCCCAAGGTTAAAAGAGTGTTCTTTACCGAGCGGATTCCCATTTCTGCCCCTCTGAGGCCGCCGTCGGAGGAGAGGAAGAAGAGGCTGGAAGAGCTTTTCAAAGAGAGTTTAGGGGGTGATAATGAGTTTGACAATGCCATGAACGAACCAAACGCTTCGAATAAGTCTGCATTTGGAACCCCTAATTATTCGTCGCCTGCGGGCAGCTATGCTGGGAGTAGTCCGATCCAACAAACTAAACACGCTTCCCCGGGAGCGGGAAAACGGGCCCGCCAATGGTGTTTTCCCATTCCCAAGTCGCTGCTTTCGAGATGTAGCTTTAGCGAGGCGAAGAAAACACCACCACCGCCACCACCTCGCGAATAAATAACTAATGCTTATGAGGTATATATATATGTGTGTGCGCTATTTATATGCTCTATATATACTATTTTTGACACCACATTTGACTTCATCTTTCTTACAGATATCGCATGCGACCACCGACACTATTCTGTGGCAAAAATGCTAGGAACCCACCACGAGTATCCCCACGAATGACAATCACGAATGGTTCATGTATACACAACGACAATTATATCTGTGAGCACATATAATATCGTCTTTATATGTATGAAATCGCTTGTGAATGTCATTCGTGGAGGCAACCGTGGTGGATTTCTAGCAATGTGTTTGTAAATGTCTATAAGAAAGATAGTGTCAAAGGTGGTGTCGAATGCTAGGATGTACCCCAAACATGGTGGATATATATGGGCAAGAAATCCGAAACCCATAAAGAGTGTGTGGAGTTTCTTGATCAAGAGATTTGAGTTGTTGTGTATATAGTGTAATGGTGAATAGAAATAAAGAAATGAATTTTGATTTCTTGTTTTTTATCCATGAGCGCGTATGATATACGTACTTGGGAATTTGTCTACTTGATTGTCTTTTTTTTGAAAAGATTTGTTGAATTTCAATGCCGAATATCAATATTTAGGACATCACACAACACCCATTCCATGAAATTAGATTCAGAATCAGATGTTTGTGAAAGTAAATGAGCAACATGATTCGCTGACCTTCTAATTTAGGACCATGTGAGAGAACTAAACGTCCTCCCTAACATTTTGCAATCATTCACCACACGTAAAAAAAAAAAATACTCCCTCTGTCTCCAATTTAATTACAAATTGCGGGTTACGGAGTATAATTTCTTACTTTTTAAAATTATTTTATTTACAAATTGGTATATCAATAAGATATAAAAACTACGTCAAAAGTTTTACAAAACAAGAGGTGACAAGAATATTTTATTTTATCAACATCGCATAAACAAACAAAAGTTATCGAGAGCAGAAAAAAAAATTGTAATCTATTTAGGGACGGAGGAAGTAAGTGTTACTCTTTCATAATGAGTCATGAAAAGTGTCTCCTTTATCTTTAATTTGTTACTCTTTATCTCATGTCATTCATTATAGTCTCAATGTATTTTTTCAGTTTGTCTTTTATATTTTTCGCATTCAAATTGTACGAGCTTTGATTTAAACAAAGAGTAATTTACCTAAATAAGATTAAAATATAATGATTTTCTCAATATAGGACCATATGTTTTTATTTTTCAATGTAGGACCATTGGTCAGCATCACTTGGACATTATTCTTCTCACTAGTCATTATTAAATCCTATTTAGGAAATAAAAAAGTTTAAGTCCTACATTGGGAGAAATGACTTATGTTTTAGTCTTATTCACGGCAAATTTCACTTAAACAAAATCTTTGGTGAATAAACTTGTTAAAAACTAAATAAACTAAATTTTTGAAGAATAATCAATAAGCTAACATGAACGAATTGGGGAACATCGTTATGGATATTATTATGCTTGATCTTATTTGGGAAATGGCAACACACCATTTTGGATATCTTGCTTCTTGAATAATTTTTACAAAAAGCTAAAAGTTAAATGTTGAAAGAGAGAACTCTCTAAATAGGAGCAAATAATTATGAAAATATCAAAATAGAAGTTATAAGTCTTTTAAGACTAAAATAAGAGTTAATACTGCTATTGTTACCTTGTCACACTTACCACATTATCATATTGTAATTGTCAATTATCACCGCCATACTGTCATTCGTCGCCGCCGTCCATCGGAGTGCCATGTCACACTGACATTTTAAACTGTCATCACTATTCCATCATACTGCTAATGCATACTCTTATACCACACTGTCATTGTACTCCTATTTTGATCTTAAAAAACTTAAAATTCCTATTTTAATATTTTTTCTGAGATTTCTTCAGAAATTTATTTGAATGAGATCAGAATTTGACACAGACGATAATTGTTAGTGCGACACAGACAATTATCGTCTGTGTTTGTATGTGAAGCACCCATGTTGGAACCAACTCTCCAGCCTTTCATCAGGCGGACCCCTCTCGCCGCATCTTCTCCTTTCTCTCCGACTGCTCTCTTTAGCTTTTCTTTTTCTCCTCCTCCTTAATAACGCTGCCTCCGTACATAAGCAGCCTTTTGTCGTCGGTAAATCTCAACTGTTTTTTCGTTCCCTTTTTTCAAGTAATTTTTGGATTCGTTACAATTGCTTGCAGGCACCACTTTCGATGATATCTTTATGAATTTACATACTCCCTAGTACTAGGTATGTTTGTAGCGATTCATCGTTTGTTTCAGCCATGGATTTTGTGATCCGCATTCTGTTTTTCTTGTTGATACTTTGATTATTCGGAAATTGATTGCATGATCTTCGCGTTAATTAGTTGTACTTGTCGATCAGGTTTTTTACACTCAAATCTTCCTTTCTTTCCTCATTTGATTTGCTGAATTGATGTTCTTCATATGTTTAATCGGTTCTGGTATTAGGAGTAGCTTGCAGTCAGGACTACTTGAAATTCATATTTTTTTTAAAAACCCTAATCTCTGCAAGGTTTATGTCAATTCTATTTCAAAACACTACACCTTTTTTTTTTTAAAGGAAGGCTAAAATTCACCATTGGTCCTTCAACTTTATGACTTGTGCACGATTGGTCCTTTAAGTTTTAAAAGTCCATAAATAGTCCTTCAACTTTATGAGTTCTGCACCATTGGTCTTTCAAGTTTCAAAAGTCCATAAGTAGTCCTTCAGGTTCACGTCAGCCTTCCAGATGAAGTCCTTTTGATAGTAAATATTAAAAGTTAAACGAAATACTAGTTTCATATAATACGAGTAAATTCCACTAGGTACGACTACTCCGTATTATATGGAGCTAGTATTCCAAAAGGACCTCATCTAGAAGGCTGACGTGTATTTGAAGGACTATTTATGCACTTTTAAAACTTGAAGGACCAATCGTGCATAACTCATAAAGTTGAAGGACTATTTATGGCCTTTTAAAACTTGAAAGACCAATCGTGCACAATTGATAAAGTTGAAGGACCAATGGTGGAGTTTAGCCTTAAAGGAATGCCCATTATCTGAATGTATTTTTCTGCTGTTTACCAACCCAATAACACAAATCTTCGCAAAATGACTGAGCTAGGTCTTAGTCTCTTTTTTTTAATTTCTTTTTTGTTTGTCTGCTCACTCCCAACGAGGGGACTGTAAACCACACAGGTGTTTGCTGAGGATTTTTCGTTTCGTTGCGAGAAAAACCTAGCAAATGACGCAAGTGTTTGTACATGAAATATGCCATTCTTTAAAATTGTAAATACTTTTCCATTGTTTAATATACTTTGCCCAGAGAATGAATGAATGAGAGTTTGAAGGAAACGGAGAAGAAGTAATGTCCAAAGGCTTTGTTCTGGATGGTTAGTCAGAAACCCTTCTTACTTCCCTTTGTTTTCGCTAGGTGAGGGAAGACATCCAAAATGTTATGCGCCCTTAGGTCTTGCCTTGTCAAGATTCCTGCAACAGGAGACACCTGGAACACAACCAAATTACAACAAGGTTAGCTTCAGCAGTGGGGTTCTTTTGGTAACAACTGGCACCCAGTCCCGGTGGCACCCATATCACACTCGCTCTGTTTGATGGCCCTACGGTATTCCGTTCGACAGAGAAGTAATTCCTAGCCCCCCCCACCCCCCACCCCCCACCCAAAAGCCTCCTAGCTCCCATGTGCCACTGTCAAATATATTTGACAGTGGATAGCCTCCCACATGGAACATGGCGGGGCCTAGGGGAAGATTGTGGGGGTTAGCTGGTAGGAACCATTAAGAGTCGAACAGAGCAAGGTAAGACACTCAAATCGAGGAGGTTTTATAGAACTTACGACTGCTGCTTGATGTCTTGGTAGAACAATCATGTGCCGGAGTTCCACCTGCCGGAACATCACCTTAGCCTTCGCGACCGACATGCTCTCCACCACCGTGAACGGTGTCGTGTTGCTAAGGGGATGCAAATCCACATACATCTCCATTTCGCCCTTGGTCACCCCAACATCTTCAATCTTACCCCACCTCTCAGCCAAATCCATCGAACTAAACTTCTCCCTCACCTCTTCCTCCTCTGTCTTCCTCATCTCCACCAAGAAATACTTTCTCTTTAGCATCAATACCAGATGAGTCCTTAAAACCAGCCCATGAAGTCGTCCCATTTCATCCAAAACCGGGAACCCATTATGAGTCGTGTTGGTGAGCACCTCCACAATGCGCCTGACCTTCTCTATCCCTCTCAGAGTAACCACCGGTGGTTTCACATCCACAAGCTCTCCGACTGTGATGTTTCTCATCCACGGCTCGGCGTGGGCCTCTAGGAAGGGCAGACCTTTCAGGTGCAGTATTATCTCGTAGATACTCGGGTTGAAGAAATCCCCAACACTCTTCGCGATCAGAAGGACGAGCATTGTTATGGGTAGTAACAAAAGATTGTTGGTTAGCTCGAGAAATATAACGCAAAGTGAAACAGTCATTCTCATGGAACCTGCCATGAGGGAAGCTGCACCGAGAACGGCAAATAGCCCCTCGTCAATGTCCGTGTACTTCCCCATTGCAATGCCGAGCAAGCGGCCGTAAGCGGACCCCATTAGAATGATTGGGAGGAACAGACCAGATGGGACAGCGATCCCGAAAGTCACCAATCCTAAGATGGAGTAAAGCACAAAGAAGATGGCAAGGGAGGACGTGTCCAATTCTTTTGGGGTGTTTATGGAGAAGATGTTTCGGACGGCGTCATCGTTCGTCGTTAGGAGAAGAGTTGCGAGATCATTGTAGTAACCTTTCGGGCAGTTGAACCGTTTAAAGTTTCCTGTGCCTCCATTTGCAGGACAGGGAGAATGTGTTTGTGAAGGGTCACATGGCTTGCATTTGGCAAGGAAAGGAAGTCCGTATAGGCAGATAGAGGTCAAAAGTGAAACGCTGAGACTGAGAAGCAGTTTATGTAGCTTACCCTTTCTGCAACAAAAAGAAAAACAGATTTTCATGTAAACAAAACATATAAAAAAACGTTTTCCTGAGTTTCAAGCATTGCCGTAGTGTAGTGAGAGTGCTTACGCATTGATGAGGCCATATAGGTGTAGGACCTTGTGGAGGACATGGTTGTAAAGGCTACCCAAGAGTCCTCCAATGATCCCAATCACAGCAACAGGGATGATATCCACAAGATGATACTTTATAGTTACCCCACTCACATCAAACATGATTAGCCCTCCCCTACCAAACAGACCACAATCTCTTGATTTGCAGTACTCCATGGAGGACCTAAGTACCACCACCACAACCGCTGTGCTGAAGAAGGTCCTCCAGAGAAGGGCACTCCTCCACCATGTTGCCACCTCCTCTAGTGCAAAGAGTACACCCCCAACCGGGGCACGGAATGCAGCACATACACCTGATGACGAGCCACACGTGATCAGATCCCGCCTGTCCCTGTCGTTGTTGAAGTACCTTAGCCAACGCCATTTGATGCGGTACTCATCGGGCCCACCTTGCCCTAATAAGGAGGCAATGCAACTGCCAATGTGGACCAATGGCCCTTCTTTTACTAGGTCCAACCCTGCAGAGACTGCTCCTATGCTTCCAATGATCTGTGGAGGTGAACAGATCATTCTCATTGATCCTTTTAATAAAAAAAGAAGAAGCAAAGCCCAGAAAAACCAAGGAAAGATAAGGTAAAGGTAAAATGATCAAGGTTGTCTGTGTGAGAGCTGATGCGAGTGGCTTACTCATAATCCAAGCTCTCAATGTGTGAAACCTTGGCTCCAACCATGGCTAATGGACACGATGAAAGCGTGCGGCTTCTCTTGAGAAGGGGCTGATCAAAGGTGTTGCTCTCTGGATCCCTTTCTTCTTCTTCCTCTTCAAAAGTCCAGCCATGGCAGTCCTTTCTGCAGAAAACTGGTTTGTTTCCTCCATTGAAATGGGATGCGGAAATCAGATAACGCACGAGCCTTTTAGGATCAGCTAGCTGTTCTTCTTTACCAGTAGCTCTTTACATATTTATCAGCTCCGCCAGCTAGACACAGGTGATCCTATTGGATTTGACTTTTCTTGTCTCCTTACATACATAGCATGTGGCACTTATGATATGTGTTCCAGATATGGTGGCTGAGGATACAAACATTGTGTGGGTCCTACACACACGTCCAAGTCAGTCCACATAATCATCCAACAATATTCATTCGCCAGTTTTGTCGTGGCGTGGCTCGCCACTCTTTAATAGGAAATGATATTTGTACATTAAAAATTGTATCGCACTTTGTAGTCCGAAAGTATGTATCAATATTTTGTACGACTGTTATGCTAGATTGATGCTTTACAAAGACATAAAATACCTGTGTAAATTTTTTTTGATTGAATTAACATGTTGTGGCAGTGTAAATCATTAAAATACTAGTATATTTCTTTGCGGTATACTTCTTGAGGTACTCCTAGCATGGTTGCCCTTTGACATCTCTATTTTGTGATAATTATGAGCGGTTTATCTCTCACTCAACCATTGACTATTATACCCAGCTACCGACTGTCACTATTATCATAAACCATCTCAATAATCAAACTATCATTTATTAAATTATGATTTTTTTAGTTTTTTCAAATAACGATAGTTTAGGTGTATAAGTAAATATCATTTCTTTCAAATTTTAGAATTCATATAATATCATGTGTCCTAAAGACTAATTTTAGTGATAAAACTTATTTGTACGTGTCATAACAAATCGAACGAACAATTTTTTTTTCTATTAAATAGTCTTTGATATATATTCTCATTATTCTGTATAATTCTTTATTTGCCCTTTTAGTTACACCTGAAGCTTAACATTGAAGTTGTTCAAAGATGAAATATCTGACATGGCTGTGAGTAAAAAAGAGTGGCATATGGGTAAGTATGCTACGTGATGGGAAATAATACGTGGCTCGGTCTACATTTTCCAATTATTTACGAAGAACAGTCAAACCAGGCCTGTTTGATAAAATAGAGGAATAAGAGAATATTTCTCCATAGATGCTCTCACTCTCTCCTATAAAAGAGAGTGTTGCCCTTAAAGTAGGGGGAGCCAAAAATTACTCCTTCCCTGCCCAAATTACTTTCTCTCTGGAATATTGTATATTGTATACTTTATTTTTTCAAAGAAGCTTCAAGCTTCCATTTAGACCTGGAAAAACAGAACCGGAACCGATTACCCGAACCGAAATATCTGAAACCAAAACTGAAATGACCCGAAAAATGAAGATCCGATCTATAACCGAAAACCCGAAATGATCCGAATCGAACCGAAACCGAACTAAATAATTCATATCCGATTTATATCCGAAACCGATAATATCCAAACCGACTAAACCCATAACCGATTAGATCTAAAACCGATAATACCCGAAACCGATAATACCTGAAACCGATTACATCCGACACCGATTATATCCGAAACCGGTTAGAACCTACATCGATAAATTTGGAACTATGTTTTCCTTTCAATAAGCATATTATATTTTTAAATATTTACTTTTATTTTACCATTTGAACTAATTACATTACTTGCTCATTCCCTCATAAAATAGATTATCATCTTGAAAAAAAGTATAAAATTTCATGCCTTAAATTTATTATATGTAGAAATTAAAGATAAGTTATACATATAAATGATAACGCACAAACAAATAAAATTTCCATAATTTTTAAATAGTGAAGTGTGATATTCCTTTTGAGACGAAAGAATTATATGATGAATTATATGAAATAACTAGATTTTATCCCGATTTCATCCCATTATAATAAATTTTATTGATTTGAGAGTTAATTTGATTAGTTTCAAACCAATTCACTCAATATTAGTTAATAAAATTAGATGCTGGTGTTAGCATTTTGAATAGACACTCTAGCGACAGCATTTAGTGTTATCATTTTCAAATTTGATCTTCATCATTAGATTTAAGTGTAAAATTACTTATATTTGACTCTATTAAATTTTATTTAATCTATTTTCAACAAAATACACTCAATAATTTATAAATTTTGCACTCAATTGAATAAAATTTACTTAATTTCACCCAATTTTACTCAATTTTTTACCAAATTATATTCAAATGGAACATAACACTATTTGAATTTATCTCTTATCTTTTCATTTATAAACATAAGTATTTTAGTAGTTGTGAGAAAAGTTTGATATTTCAAAACTAAATTTTAAAATCAATTTAATTATATTAAATTTATATCATAATTAAATATATATGTTTTCACAATTTATAGTCCAAATTTGTAAAATATGACTAAAAAGTCAAAAAGGGAAGATTATTTAGATTAGAGATAATATAATTAGAAAAATATATAAAATAATATGAGGTATTGAATTGATGATAGATAAATGTGATAAAACATAAAAAGAAATATGGATAGTTAAATTTCAATTAGAAAATAATATATATCCAAAATATATTTGAGCCGAAACCGAAATATATCCGAACCGAACTAGACCCGAAACCGAAATATATCCGACTCAAATTGTATCCGAACCGAAATCTATCCGAACCGATTTATAACCAAACCGTATCTGAACCGATTCAAAACCAAACCGAACCGAACCGAAAAATGTATCGAACCGAATCAAATCCGAATCAAAATTTAACCGATCCGATTCGAACTGAACCGATTATAACATATAACCGAAAGATATCCGAACCGAAAAAACCAACCCGAAACCGATCCGGTTGATCCGATTGCCACCTCTACTTCCATTAATGGCTTCCGAGCCCAATTCATGTACCGTGTACAACCCCCGATATTAATTAAAAAATCTCTCATTGGCAAGGTACCACCAAAAAAGGCCCGTAGTTTTCTACCGATTTGGGTTTCCACGTCCAGATTCTCATGTTTATATTTTGGTGCATTTTTTAGATTGATTTATCATTTTTGCTCGACTAAAAACGATATAGCAGTCGATAATTTACAACATCACTACGGTATGCAGGTAAGATTTTAAAGAGATTGTGAGAGTATTTTTATTAGCATACAAGAAAAGAACATGACGTTTTTTTGAATACAACGTGACCAATAAATCATTCATACCAAAGCATGAAAAACCACATATATATACACGACATCTTCCAAAGCATTTTGTTTAGGTGGAAGAAAAAAAATCGGAAATCAATAATTTTGGCAGTTCATAATTTGACGTGAAATTTAAAAATAGAGGGGTGATCAAACTGAACTCGAGTAAAAAGACAGAAATAATAGTGATTCACCTCATCGGATATCCATTTCTTGTATTTGAATTGGAATTTTTTTTTCGTATTGGGCATTTGTTTTCAAATAAAAACATTCCAATTTATCCTCTAGTTAACACGTGACTTACATCGTATTATCTCTTTATGTCTCTTTTATTCTCGTCGGCAATTATTAAAAACAAAACATTTCGTAAAGCAAAAAAAAAGTCGTGAAGTGTAGTTGGTCCAAACTAATGAGCCCCCACGGTTTTGTCATATTTTCATTAAAAAAAATCTTGAGCCCATTCTGGAAGGTCTCTTCAAATCCGATCGGATGATCACTGAGAGGAGATAAATTGGACTTTGATTGTAGATTGGTGGCAAATGATATAACTTGCACTTGGTACTTGCAGAGATCATATGCTTAGCATAGTTGCCTCACAACATAGTTGTCAGGAATCAATTTTGGTCATACCCCCAGGAATCAACATAGTTGTCAGGAATCTATTTTCATGTGTTATATGTTACGGATAGAGACGAGCAAAAAGATCAGGATTGAAAAAATTGACTTAGACAGATCAAAATTTAGACAATAAAGATTAGGACCGAAATGATTATTGAGACTAGTCTAATCCAAGAATGATAGTCTCATTTCTTAAATGGTTATTAGTTTGTAGAGAGGACTTAGACTAGTCATGGACTAGCTAGTAGATGACATGTAATGGCTTGAATTGGTCTAAGATTAACAAAATATTAGTTTAAAGACTAGGATTAGGCCAAAAGATTGGTCCTCGAAAGATTATGTACTCCGCATATTACTTATATTTGTGCATAACATTTTAGAAATCTAAAAAAAATACGGAGTACGACTTACAAATTATTAATCCTATTAAACTACTATTACATGTTTGAGACAAAGTATCACATATACAATCTCTAGAAATGTTATCCAGACATATAGTTGTAATAAATGACTTATTAGTGTCAAAAACGTATTTCTCCATTCCTAAAAAATTAGCACACCTCATTATTAAAAAAGGATGAAACCTTGTGTCTTTTTGTGTGTTTTTACTAATTATTTGTTTACAAACAATACAAAGCAATTTATTACTCTTTATTTTAACTTACATACAACTCCGTACGAAGTATATTTTGGTTCTAATTTCAATAACCAATGTTTGATTCCGCCCTAAAAAACAATGATCGAATGATTTTGGAAGTATTTATCCTCGTTTCGGTCTTTTCCTATTCAAAAATTTTACTCCCAATTAAACTACTGCTAATCATTGTAAATGAGGGTTGTTATTTGGTTGTAGTAATTATCAGCGAAAATAAATTACTCCGTATTTAACTTTTTAAACTGACAATCACGTCATAAGTTTGAACTCTTGAACTTTAGACTGAATTTCTTCTTTAACATAATATCAGATTGGTTTTTAACTCACCTCAGTTGCCTAACACATCTGCCAAGAAATTTGTTTCTAGCAACTCGTGAATCTTTAGCCCATGTCCATTCAAAAAGCTTGGAACAACGACAATGAACATGAACTTCTTCAACAATCAAATCAAACTCACTAGACAAAACATGAATATTTTCATAATTTTTTAATAATTTTTACTAAAACATGATTAAATATATGCTTAGATGTGTGCATTAACAAATGTGTCTAATATGCATTTATTAAAGAATAAATGAAGTATAAGATAGGGACAATAGGTTTTTTTTTGGGGGGGGGGCATGAAACCAAATTATATTGCTCCTTAAAAAACAGTTAAATTTATCGTTTGTCGCCAAGATAATATACTACGGAGTAGAATGCATTAATATACATCACATGGCATAAGTGCATTTAAGAAAACTCAGGTGGAAATTATGCCCTCCTCTCCCTCTTCAAAAGACAAAGAAATAATAAACCAGAATCAATGGAAAAGAAAACCAATCAAACCATCAGGCTACCTGGAGGAAGTTCCCAGTTATCGTCTTCGTCTTCTTCATCAGATGCCGTGTCGTTCTTGAGATCCGAGTCATTCTTGCGTGCCATGGCCTCTCGCCTATCCTCGAAGGCAAGCTTTCGCCTGTTATATCAAATGTTTTAATGAGAAGCAGTTGGCATGACAAACAGTATATATGTCATTCACAAAGGAAACGAGGAAAACGTGCTTCAGCAAGTTGCTCATAGAGACATTCAAGAATCCCTAGCCCATGGTCCCGATGGGTATACCTCAGATTTTTTCAAAAGAGTCCCGGTCTGTCCCACACTCAAAGGACCTCCTTTTTTTGTAAAGCATTGAGGATTTCTCTTCAGATTCCTTAGACACAAGCAGTGGCCTTGATCCTAAAAGCTAAACTGGTTAACAATGTTAAGGATTTTAGACCTATCTCTTTGCTGCAATGTTTTCTATAAGGAATATGGAGTATTAAACAACAAACTCAAGCCAAATGTGGACCAATTGGTTGATCCTGGCCAGACTGGATTCATGAAAGGCAATGCATTTCAGAGAATATCTATCCTTATGACAGAGGAACTTTGAGGTTCTTGAGAGTTTCTACAACATGCCCTTAGTGCTTATGGTTTCCTGGTTAGATTTATTGATTAGATCTTGCAGTGTGAAATCTCAACTTCATTCTCCCTAGCAATAAATGTTAATGGGTTAATCAAGGGGAAAAGTGGTTCAGGCATGGTGGTCCCATTTCCTCTTGTTCATTTCTCTTGTGTTTGGAGATTTTCTCGAGGGGAAAAGGGGAATGAGGCAGTAAAGCCTTGTCTTATGTGGGTACAACAGAACTTAATAAATCTTACTTTTCCAATTTCCAATCTCTGCTCGTCATAAAAGAAACAGGTTGAGCAAAATTTATATGGGGATCTAATGGTGTCAATCATGTGGCAGCAGGCTGCCACACCCAAATATTCTTTTTTACTTGGCTGGCTTTGAAGGATAGATCGCTCACCAAGGATAGGCTTGGCTTCACAACCAGGACATTGATTGTACTTGTTTCATGTGTAAGTGTAACAAAGCTCCAGAAAACATTGATAATCTCTACTCACTATGTGAGTACACAAAGAACATAAGGGAAAACATCAAGCAAGGTGGGCATCAATAGATAATTATAAACCTAGAAAAGCTCGGTCAAATAATTGCTACTTGAACTTCATTTCAAGAAAAATACAAAATAAATGTGTTTACTTCCGGCACTCACGGTATTCGGAAAACATGTAATTCGTACTGCCACAATCCCACATTAAAGTTCTCATAAGAGAGAACCATTGTTTATGCAAAGATGAGAGAAAGTGAAACCAAATGGTATGAGAAAACTTTGTTTTTATGAACATGATGGGTAGTGTTGAGAAATCCTTTACACAATGGGACTGCGATTCGGGTATCCAAATTAGAAAAGTTGGAATCTTAGTTTGGGACTCAGAGCACATTTTTTAGGGGAAACCCCACAATGAGAGATCCATAAGTTCATTTAAGTTCTTGTTTTGACTTTCAAGGAGTAAATAAAAAGATGAAATTTTATAATTGAAATTTAGGCAATGAAAAGAGAAATAATATAAACCAGTAAAACCACACAATCCATTCCTTAAAAGGCACAACAGGTGGGGCTTAATAAGAGTGATGACGGGTCAAGTATATGTGTATTGAAGACAACAAAGGAAGGCCGCCAATAGATTGCATAACTGACTTTAAATCATCGCTATATGTTTTTTTGTATACTTAAGTCTTTAATTTTACTTTGTTATTTTTGTGAATTATAGAGCAACAACCACATCAATATTTGAAAAAGAAAATCATTACATGTACATCATATTTACACCCAAAAGGGAACTTTATTAAAGGAGAGTAGGAACTTAAATATGGGAGGAGGAAGTATTTTGCAACCCTTATGTCATTAAATGTTTTGTAAAGGATTCAAGTAAACCAATGAACACGTTGAGTTTGTGTGATTAGACAAGCCAACTCAAAGTTTGTGCAATTTGACTACATATCCTGCAAGATTGTGAGATTTGGCCAAATAACTTGTAGACTTCCAAATCATCATGTCATGAACAGATTTGGCACGTAATATGATACAATTCTTTTTAAAAAAGACTCTTTCAATGCTTGCTTCCGTTTGAGGCCAAGGAAAAACAGAATGAGGTTAAAACATAGATCCCATGTCAAGAGATGTGTGCCTCAAATATGGTTGTGCTGGAAGAGCCTCATATGCCTTAAGGCTTTTCGAGGGCTATATATCATAGCAGTGATGGGTTTTTTAGGCCCATATATGTTCTAGTTCTTTAAATACTCTTGACCAATTCATGTCCATATTGGACCTACTGATTTTGATTGATTAAGGTCACTAAGCCAAACCCATAAGAGACCAATAAAACTTGCAACATTGCTATCCAATTCAACAGCAATCTTCGTGCTTCTTTGTGGACTTCTCACAGACTCTCTATTCTTCTCTTCTTCCCCACACATCTCCTTGCAGATTTTCACAAGTTAGTTTCTCTCTTACCATTTTTTCCTTGTAGATGGACAACCGATTGATGTCATATCAGGTATATTTTGAACAATTCTATGCATGTCACTCATCAAAAACTTGGAGAAGAAAGTGCATGCCACACTATAAGGAAAAGTGAGCCACTAAAGAAGGATAAGTAGATTATGACACTCTTATCTTATGGCTTGTTGATTTCTACATTTCTAGGATACTATATGTTGTCATCTCTAACTCTTACAGACTAACATTTAAGGGATAGAAGCATTTAATAAATCACATAGCTGTAGTGAATACAGCAGTGCAATTTCAGATTTTCTACAGTAATTGATTATCCACAAAATCATACAAACTCAGCTAATCCACAAAACAGATTCCTATTTTCGGCTCAGATTTATGTGGCTAAATTGAAGATCGCAGTAAGAACAGGAATCAGGAATCAGGAAAATTGAGCTGAGGGAAGGCAAATAGCCATTGTACCTTCGACTATTGCGCCTGGCGGCATCGCGCGACTTGCGCTTCTTCTTCTCCTGCTTGTTCTCGAAGAACCTCCTGCGCCTGCACTCTTGAATCAGCCCCACTTTAGACACTTCTCTGCGGAAGCGGGATATAAGCCTCTCCTCCGGCTCGTCCTCATCCACGAACAAGCTGACGTTACAGGCCGAGAAGTAAAGCGTGTTGGCATACGCCAGGGAGGGGCATACGACGGACGCGATGGCGAAATTGTCGGACGGCGGTGATTGGAACGGATGATTATCGGTGGTTTTCACTAGCGGGGCCCAATCGCCCTTGGCGGTTCTCAGAATAGGGAAGGAGTTGTCGGAGGAGAGAGAGAGGTGGACCGGAGGTGCTCTGAGTGATGGCGGTTTGGAGGGGAGGAAGAAGGAAGAGAGAGTGGCTATGGATGAAACCGCCATGGGTGACAATGGAGAGGGGATAAGGGATATATGCGGAAAAAGCTACATTTTGCACTCCAATGGTTTATACTATACCTCCAAATTAGATTATGGAAAATATACTTGTACCCCATATGTGTCTCATTTTGTAGTCTAAGAGTTTGCACTGATATTAAATATTAAATATAAGTGTCAAACTAGTATTATGTCAGTGTTGTACTTACACTTTATGTTAAAGTAAATTTTTGAGTTACAAAATGAAGTACAAAGTGGGGTGAGAATAACACAAGCTAAATATTAATTTTCGTTTTGTACACATTTTGTATTTGTCACATACAAGCTAAATTTTTATATGATTTTTAGATCCAAATTCATTTTATGAATTTTAGTATATAAATACAATAAAAAAAATTGGTACGGCTCACTAACATGGGAACACATTGTAATGTCATAATAAGATCCGAGTCTCGTACGGTGCTGCATTTAAAAAATTGATAATTTCTATCTTCAAACTCTCCAAAACCCCCGACCTCTCAACTATTATAGTCAATCATGATTTTTTCGAACGAACATCGTAGAAAATTTGAGTTATGTTACATGTTACGATATTAGATTTAATGTCAGTTGAATCGCACGAGTGAAAAATTAGTTTTTTTGCAACAAATAAAAAATTATTTTATCAAGCTTATGAAAAATGTAAAAAGAATCACATTCAAACTTGAGAGGTAGAAAACTTTTTTGAAAACTTTTGCATCATTTATTGAAAACTTTGGGTTTGGTTATGCGTATCCATATTTATTGAAAACTTTTGCATCATTTTATTTTATAGCCAAGTAAATGCTACAAAGATGAAAATGGCGGGAACTGCATCAAGCTCTGAGACGATTCAGACCAAAATGGAGGAGGAGAAGTCGGAGTTGTGCTGGAGAAAGGAAGTAGATATCAACCTGAAGAGGCTCCAATCTCTCGTCTTCGGAGCCGAAAAAGCTCTCGAGAGGCAGGATTTCAGCTCCGCACAAGTACTGACATTGGGACTCATCGGCTTCCTTGATTCCCGCTCCAATTCCGACATCGACGAGGCCTTCATTCGCCCCATTCGATCCGAAGCCTTATCGAACCTGGACGCCGCTCGCCGCAACTTGATTCAGGAATCCGATCGGTACTGACTCAGTCGTTGTAATTGGCGATTTTGAGTATCTTATCTCCTGATTTCGGAATAGTTGTTTCGCGTATTCACTAGATTTCACATATTTTCATCTTATTTGTGATATTGATTGATATAGTCCCCAATGAATTAACTCAATTAAGCTCTGAAAACCTAACTTGATTGAGGTCGGCATGAAATGCCTATCTCCCTATATTCGAGTATTGATGGAATACCAGTGAAAATTTTCAGCTATTAACTTTGAAATGATTCAAGTATAATGTCATTGGATGGCTAGTTCTAGATAATTATGACTTTCTCCAGTTTGCGGGGTTAACTAAGGAGGAATGTATGTTTGTTAATGTGGGAGATATGTGCATGCCTATGAAGCTTTTTATTTGTGGAAACGGATAGGTATTTTTAATCTGCAAAACTTTGAGATGGGATGTACGCAAAAACTGATTCCCTGATATCATGTCTGAATTTCATTTATTTTAGCTAACTTTACTAGAAAATTATAACTGCTTTACTGCTTAGTTTACCTTCAGGCGAGCTTTTGAACAAGCAGGCAAAGATCCGGGCCGCATATTTACCAAGAAGGGAGAGATTGACATTGATAAGATTAAACGGTCAAAGTACTTTCAAGCTCTTTTACAAAACTCTGAGGGAATAGCTCCTTCTAAAACGGTATAGAGAATGAATAAATTAGTTCTTTGCTTTTGCAAACTGTATTTCATCTGTGTATGTTCCGAACGTCTTAAATATGACTTCGCATGTCCCATTTGCAATTTTTGTTTCTCCTTTCATTGTCTTCTCTGTCCAGTAACTCATAAAAAACATGTATTTGGATGTAAACTCGTGTAATTTCTTGTTTTATCGCAGACTGATAGACATACTAGGCAGGAAAATCTCGCTAGCAAGATCTCTAAGTCGCCAGTTCCGGCAAGTTATGGAGATGTCTCCCAGTTTATCCATAAGGCATCCAATAAAGACAATTGCCCGGATATCCTCTTCAACGAAAAGGTTCGTTCGAATCAAAACTTCAGGGATCATGGTGACACCATGGAGATTGATGATGAAGAGGTAGAAAAACCTTTCGGGAAAAGCCTCAAAATGAAACAGCTGAACATGGAAACCTTTGGGCAAAGAAACAAAAATGTTAAATCTCCACTGTGCAATGAAGGAATTGATACTGATTCTCCTCACAAAGGATTTGTTACTGCTAGAGATAAATTGGTACTGCCATTATCTTTCACTGAAAAATCTTTATATTTGCTTCCTCTGTATATCTAATTACATGACAGTTGCCAAGTTGTTGATCTTCTTGAGTTAAAGAGACTTAGTTAGGTGATCAATGTTTAAAATAATTTTATTTTCATGAATTTTGTTTGTTATTTCCTTTTATATGTAATCCCATAGGCCATATCTAAATCATGGAAACATGGGGCTGCTTCATTATGTGAACTCAATATAGATGAGTTGCCAATTTTTTTAAATTCAAGCAATCCCATTGTTTATTTTTGAAGAAGTTTATATTCCTAAGTGACTTAGTGTGATAGGAAATGGATGTGAGGCAAAGAAGAGGACTGAATGGCCACCCTAGCGCCTCAGAGTCCCCACAAAGTGATAGCACCATGGCAAACAAAAGCTATGGAGTCAAGCCTTATGGGAATCCTCGACGTGGTATTCGTGGTAATTTTGTCCCTCCAATCAGATGCAATGGAAATAATGCGGGTGGTAGTGTTACTTCACGCAATGCAGGGAAGGGAGAGGATGCATTAGAGGACTCAACGCGGAGATGGTTAGTTGGTTTCTGTGTGTTAGTTTTCTTGGACTATTTATATTGTTTAAAGCCCCAAACACCTCCCCTCCCCCCGCCTCGTACGCACACACACAGGTTTCAATCACTTTTGAACAAAAGGGTATTGTTTAGTGTCTAATGCTGAACTTGACTCATTTATTCCCTCTGTAGTCTGGAAATGCTTTGTGGTCCAGATGGCGAGCTTCCTGAGAAATTGAGGAATCTAGAGCCTCGTCTTATTGAACATGTCAGCAATGAGATTATGGAGCGGGATCCCAATGTTAGGTGGAATGATATTGGTATGGTTATCAACAATATATTTGCTTCATTTTTTACAATCAATTTCATATTCACTATCCTCATCCACTTGTCTATTTCTGTTCCTTACAGCTGGGTTGGAGCATGCTAAGAAAGTTGTGAATGAGATGGTTATCTATCCATTGATGCGTCCTGATTTATTTAGTGGCTGCCGTTCTCCAGGCCGTGGCCTTCTCCTGTTTGGTCCACCTGTATGTTACATAGTCCACCTACAGAAAAGATAAAAATCAAGAACAGCCAAGTTGTTTAACCATAAAATTCTCTTGCATCAGGGAACTGGTAAAACAATGATAGGAAAGGCTATTGCTGGAGAGGCTAAGGCAACATTCTTTTACATATCTGCCAGTTCCTTGACAAGCAAATGGGTAAGTATATTCTCAATTATTAGATTCTCATAAACACAACAAACCAACTATTGTCAACAAACAATTACTGATATTCATTACTTCAGATAGGTGAAGGAGAAAAGTTAGTGAGGGCTTTATTTGGAGTTGCCAGTTGTCGCAAGCCAGCTGTTATATTCGTAGATGAAATTGATTCCTTGCTGTCACAGGTGCGTAGATACCTCAACTAAAATTTTTTAAAATGGTGTGTTGTATCTACTGGATAACAAATGCGAGCTACGAGTATGTGACAATAAAATTTGGAGAATGCCTTGGTTTATTGCCTGCTTGCACTAAGCATCATGCTAAGAACCTTTGTTGTGGTTGTAGCGTAAATCAGAAGGTGAACACGAATCAAGTAGGCGGCTGAAGACACAGTTTCTTATTGAGATGGAGGGCTTTGACAGTGGAAGTGATCAAATTCTGCTCATAGGTGATTTCCTCACTACTGAAATTGTTAGGAAACATGTATTTACGATTTTAGTATGTGCTGAAGGAACCTTTATACTCTAGTAAATTAGTACTCCCTTTGTCCTAAATTAAGGTTCCACATTTGACCGGGCACAGTTACCAAGAGAGGCAGAGTTGAGTGGTTGAGAGTTATACAAAAAGAGATATGATGTACAGAGTAAATCATATAATCATTTCTTTAAAAGAAAAATCGAACCTTATCTTTGGACAAAAAACTGTAGAACCTTTTTACGGATGAATGGAGTAATAAAAACTACTTTGTTGCATCATTTTTTATCATAATAGGGACGCAATTGTAAAAAAAATCCCCTTTATCCCGTATTATTCATTGTCAGTTCGCTTAGAGTGAATTTGGATGGAATTACTTAATATGTTGTGGATATTGATGAAGTTACTGGATTACGGAGTACAATCTATATACACACACAAGTATGTGTGTGTGTGCAAAAGGGTATGCCAAAAGCATGGCTATCAAAAGGTCATTAAGGCAAATGGCTTGTTCCTCTCTGGTACAGGTGCAACAAATAGGCCCCAAGAGCTTGATGAGGCTGCAAGGAGGAGACTTACTAAGAGACTCTATATTCCACTCCCTTCATCAGGTGTGACGTCCATCCACACACAACACATATTTCCAATCCCTTTGCATGGTAGTACTGGTTTTATGATGCTAACACCTTGTGTTTTGGAATTAAAGAAGCCAGATCATGGATTATCCAAAACCTCTTGGAAAAGGATGGGTTATTTAGTCTCTCAAAAGAAGACATTGACTCTGTCTGCAAATTAACTGAAGGTATGTGCCATTGTATATTGTTAAAGCTCATTGAAAAATTGGAGTTGGATAATCCATTTTACTAATAGGAGCTGAACATATAATTCAATAATCTGAATATGAAGAAATATTTAAAGTCTGTTGATTGAGTTTGAACCAATGTTAATAGGGTATTCCGGATCCGACATGAAGAACTTAGTGAAGGATGCTTCAATGGGTCCACTTAGAGAGGTTCTTCAACGAGGTGTTGAAATCACAAAGCTAAGAAAGGAGGACATAAGGCCGGTGTCTCTCCAGGTGATCTTCATGAATGCTTTCAAGGGTTTCTTTTTCGGTATCAAATGGTCATTGTTGGCTTTCACATTTTTACGTTTGCTGTGTTCATTTGCGTAGGACTTCAAGAATTCCCTACAAGAGGTCAGGCCTTCAGTATCACTGAATGAACTCGGCGTGTACGAGGTTTGGAATAAACAGTTTGGGAGCTTATCGCTTTAGGCTAGAAACACAAATGTTTGATTGCCAATGAAACATCAACTTTGTAGCAGATAGGTTATGTTGTGGTTTTGTTGCACTGTGTAAAAAATGGTGTCAATTGTATACATGTTTCAGAAGACCAATGGCTTTGCACATGTGAGGGAGGGGAATTGCCAGATGTGTTTTCTCCTACTTATTACTTGTCACATGACAATATGACATTATATTTATGTTTGATTTCACTGATTTTGGTTATTTATTCTTTTCCTAGTGGGTTGGTGTGTCTTGCTGAAACTGATTTGTTAATTTTGATCATGCTCCTCTAATGAATTCTGTGCTGCTTTACTTTAAAAAAAGGGTTGCTGAAATCAGAAATAAGTACTTTCCCTATTAAAAAGCATATTTTATTGAAACATTTGGATTTTGATGAAAATACCATTCTTTTGCATTGAAACTTGTTTACTTTTAAGGAATAAATTTAGTACGAGTATATTTAGCTTCTTTAGGCCTCTTTCAAAAAAACAAACATTAAATAAAATGAAAACTCGTCAATGTTACTTTCTTCTTTTTCTTAAGAAAGAAATTGTGTTTTGAAATGTGGTTTTTACATATGGCATGATTAGGTTTTCATTTTTCTTTTTAAGATATCTCAAATTAAGTTTTTATTTCTCCAAAAGGGCTGAAAAGAAAAAAGATAACTCATAGTTTGAGATTACATTCTTAAACTTCTTTTAAAACGTCTAAAAATAAATTTTAGTTTTTTTAAGAAAAAAATTATTTGACTTGTATTACTTCTCTCATCATAAATTCTAATTAAATGAAATTTTTCAACTCTTTCAAAAAAACACGTCATAAATCAAATGATAGCTAAATGCATCTTTCAATTTAAGTGTTTACATCTTTTTTGTTAGTTTCTAAATACATTTTTATTTTGATTTTAATTTAACTTCAAAAATCTAAGATATAAAATATATCCATTACACGATAAATTCGACAATAATTTGTTGAGTTCAAACCATTTTTTAGAAGTGTACAAATCTATAATTGTACTTAATATAAGGCTATATTTGTCTAATTCTTTGGATTTAGCAAAACTCGGAATGATCTAGAACATCTGATTTTAACCAAAATCTCAAATGTTCCATTAACTATAAATTCTAAAAGAAAAAGCCTACTCCGTATTAGCTGGGGCATCATCGCAATTTTATCTCTTCGTTGCAATCCGGTCGAACTCCAGAAATTGCTCACCGATCACAAAGGAGACAATGTAATTTTCTCTCCGCGCCTTTATCTTACGCCTGTGATTCTTTGTTATATACCAGTATTAGTTTATTTACGTGCTCAAATCTGAACTATTAATGGTGAAGGAGACATTCGGTGAATCGGCCGCCGACGCCGGACGAACAGGAAAAGGAGCCTTCTCTTCAGGAAATCATCAATCTCAAGGTTAGTTCTTGTTTCGACTTTGATTTCACAGTTCACGGAGCAATCGAATTTTTACTTGGATTAATTGATTTTGTTATTTTTTACCCCTATTCTGGTTAACTTAACTGGATGAATCAATCTGTTTTCTTCTTCTAGTTGATTGAGACTGGGGAAAAGGAACGCTTGATGGAGCTTCTGAGGGAGAGACTTGTTGAGTGTGGATGGAAGGATGATATGATATCTCTTTGTAGGTAAATGTATTGTCTTGCCTCCTTGTTTATTCCAATAGAATATGCAAACTGTGTTTGCTCTGTGTTTGTGCTTTTGAATTTGAGCTGAGGTCTCTTGTAAACAGTTTCTCTACTCTCAGGTAGGTAAGGTCTATGTATACTCTCTAAGACAATACTTGAATGAAATTTTATGAATCTGTTGTTGTATGCAAACTGTGTTAAACATCTCAACCAAATACTATTACTGCTACACCTATAACATACCAAGTGAAATCACAGATGCAGGATCTGGTGAGGGTAAAGTAAAGTGAATGCAGACCTTTCTCATACCTCAAGGATTAAAAAATTTACTTCCTCTGTCTCTAAATAAGCTTCATGGTTTGCCTTCATGCAGTTTAACAAAAATGTTTAGAGTTAGTTTCTTGACATGGTCAGGTTCTGCTGACATAGAGGTCATGAGCTCGAATGTCACTCTTTCACCCACAATAGAAAAATTAATGTTCATGTGCAAGGCTTGAGAAAAGAAACCTCATCCGCACGTCATTGGGGGGGAGGGGAGGCGGCGTGTAAGAGAATAAAACTATTTCTGGACCTTCAACCACACGTTTGAGTGTTTGGCTGAGTTGGTTCCTTGACATTTTGACACAACTTATATATGTTTGTATACTCCAAGGGGTTGGTTGTCTTTCATGTTTTCATTGCCATGCCAATTGGGTCGTTTTGTAGAATGGTAATGCCATAGTGAATGGCATTATGATTTTTTCTGCATTCGAGTTTGTCTTCTCTTAGGCAGTAATAAGTTGAGGGAGATAACAAAACACCCTTATTCGGGGGGTTGTGATATCGGAAGATATCAAATCCAAGCCATGTTTAGACTTAACCATACACCCACAAAAGGGTTGTAATATCGAGGGATACCAAAATCCATATCTCCTTTAGCTTCAACATTGCATTATTACATCCCATTGCTAGTTCACATCTTTATGCTCATGTGCAGAAATGAAAAGCTAAAAGCCTTACCATCTACTTTCTGCAACTTCCACTCGTTCTGGTTTCTGAATCTCTCTCAATGAATTTTATCTTTAGGGCCTTTATAAAGAAGAATGGTCGAAACAGTGTCACCCTTGATGACCTAATTCACGTGATTACCCCAAAGGGAAGATGTAAGGATGCCCATTTTACCCTTCAAAATGTGGAAATAAGTATAATTCCATGTATTTGGCTGCCTCTATAATATGTTTCTTTTGTCTTCCTGATGTTAGATTCTCTTCTTTATTCATTTTACTCTGAACCTGTGAACTCTTTTAAATATAGAAGTCACCGATATTTTGGATTACTCTAAGCAGTTAATTATTTGGAATTCACTACAAACTGTCTTTAAACTGACATGCTTAAAAATTAACATTTCAACTACAAGCTTCTTGCATTAAAATCTTGTTTTGATACCATTTGAAAGAAAAACTAGAGTATAGCAAGAAAAAATGTTTCAATAACTCTAATTATCTATCCTGAAAAGAGGGATAAAAATAATAATTTAACTAAGAAAATCTTTGCCTATCATGAAAACATGTGTTAACTCTTCAATTTACCTGCTCTATATACAAAAGAAATTTTTACCTTGGTATGTTTACAAGAAGAGGTAAGGTATACTTACATCATCCCCTCCCCCCCCCCCCAAAAAAAAATCCTGTTTATAGGGATATACTGGTTTTGTTTTGCTTGGGTTGGTATTTAATCTTGTTTTGAATTACTCGGTATTATATAATTTCCATTTTTTAAATATTCGACTAAATTGCAGCATCAGTACCAGATTCTGTTAAAGCTGAGCTGCTACAAAGAATACGAGCCTTTCTTGTTTCAACTTCTCTGTGACGTGTTGGCTTCATATACGTCTTTGCGAGCGTAAAAGTACGAAACCAAATTATATTCTCCTTAATCAGCTTTTTCTGCATCTTATCAGGGCTGGCCCTTAGTGTGCAAGAAGTGCGCCCGCATAGGGGCCCCGGTTTCACAGTACCCAATATTTTTTTAAAGTTTACTATTAACACTATTTAAAACTATTTTATCCTCTTCCTGTTTTTCTTGCAGCTGTTTCAATAATGTTGATTTATATAGGTTACGTGGGAGTAATTTCTCATCATGGTGTGCATGAAGAGCCAGCTGCATGCGTGTTTATTTGAGGGATACCTTCAGGCTGCTCTCTTGGAACAGATATGCTTTCCTGTCATCTTTTTCTCTGGGCTGTTGTAACTTATTTCAAGCATAGCCTACCAAGAGTTTCTGAAATGTCTATTCCAAATTTAAGTTCCATCATGTTTCACCCACACCATTCATCACTATATGCAAATTTTTATTTTTAAAGAAAAAAAAACTAGTGTTCAATCTAGCCTTAATCGGTTGTTTTAGGAATGTACTGTATATCGGATCAAAGAATTGACAAAACATACATGAATGATTGTGTAGGAGGAGAGTATAAATCTCTTCTTTAAGAGTAGTTGGTGGGTAAAGCTGCCGAGTATTTTTAGGTCTGTTTGGAAATAGCGTTACAGAATACCGTTTGCGTTTTGGATAAAATTTTAACGGTGTAGATTACTTTGAAAACATTAACGCTAAACATTGCCCGTAGATCGCCTTTTCAAAATGTTAACGCTAATCTCTAACGCTATTCCCAAATAGACTCTTAGTTTTTTTTTTGTGTTTTCAAATCACTTCTTCGACTGGGGCGCATTTTTCTTGTCCCCTGCTTGTTCAGCATATATACTAAGTCTAGAGCCTGCAAACGGCCAAGCACAAGTACAGAGTGTACTTGTGTTTGCGTATTAAATCTGCGTGAACGAGATGGAACAAACAAAGAAGCCGAGTGCATCCATTTGTGTGATCAGATTTTGAATCAAGACCTTAACAATGAATATGTGTGCCTATGAAGCATGGGTACTAATAAAACGAGGTGTGGTTTGGGGCATGGGTAGGATGGTCACCTGGTCAAGCCCATTTTTAACATAGTATTTATATATATACTATAAATTCTTCAAAAAAATTATTGTTAAAAAATTAATTGACAGACTTTACTTCATTGCGACACAAAGACTCATTTTCTCAGTGTCATTGTGAAAATGACGTACAAAGACTACAAAGAGCCAATGCTTAGTGTCATTTTCTCCGTGTCATTTTAATCAATGACGTACAAAGAGTCAATGTTTCGCCTTTGTTGGGGCTCGAACCTGAGTAAATCTTTTTATGAATTCTGTGGAGTGGTCTTGCTACTACTCAAGCCAGGTAGAAGTTTGGTGTAGGGATTAATTACTTTGTTACTCCTCTTGGTTTCTTTTTACCACGGTTTTGATTGGTTAGTAAATTTTTGGTTTTCTAAGAAAAGAAACAAATACGAGTGCATGTCATTTCTTTCATCAATCATCAATCATTTATTTAAAAGCAGGAGAAATGTTGACCGTTTTTCCTACCCATTGACTTTGCATAAGAAATGGTAAGTGTGCATTACATATGGTAAGTGTGGATTGACTAATAAATACGTGGGTTAATTGGTGTTCCTTGTTTATTTATACATAAATGTTTTGTGCATTCATTATTTTAATAAATAATTCTTATTTCGAATATGGATTCATTATCATAAATGGTAACATAATTTCTGTTGTTTCTATCTATACGAAAATATGGTGTTCCTTGTTTATCAATAATAAATACTCCGTAATATTAAATGGTACAATTGACTTTGCATGATAATAGTAAGTGTGTATTCATCGTTTTGTGTAACGTAGGCCAATAATTAGGTAAATAAATACGTGGGTCAATTGGTATTTCTTATTTCTTTGTGCAAAAATATTTTGTGCATTCATTGCGTAATAAGAAATCTGATCCACGTATATAAATGGTGTTCTTTTTAATAGGTAATCCTTAATTATACTCCCTCTGTCCTATAATGATCTTTCCAGAGCACTATTCCAACTTCACGATAATTTATATTTATTTGTGTTTTTTCATAGCCTATATGATAAAATAAAATATTCTTGTCACCACTTATTTTGTTGAACTTTTGATGTAGTTTTTAAATATGTATGTTTTATTTTTTATTTCTATACCAATATTTAAATAAAATAGATTGAAAAAACTTGGAATTTTTTTCGTTTTGCGAATCGAGAAGATCATTATAGGACGGAAGGAGTATAAAATAGATCGGCAATGAACACACAACATAGTACTCCCACCGTCCTAATTTAAATTATTCGTTTCAGTTTTTTATGTTTGACTGAAGTTATTTTAAATCATTTTAAATAAAAAACTAAAAAATGGTGTAGAATTAAAAAATTAAAAATTACATATTTAAAAACTACATCAAAATATCTACAAAATTAGTGGTGACATTGTTATATTATTTTATTAAATTACTTATGAAATTAGGGGAAAAAAAGTAAACAAAGTTTGGTCATTTAAATACTCCGTAGTGAATATGTAATTTAATTTGGGACGTAGAAAATAACATAAATGGTACTATTGATTTATATTTTCGTAGGAATAAATAATGAGTGCACACTTAACATTCGAATGCACACCTCTCTGTTTATGTGCGCCAATATATTTTGATACAGTAAATACGAGTTTGCAACGCAAATGTGTAATACTAGTTTCCTCAAAGAAAATAATAATTGAACAACAATGTGACCAAAAGACAAATAATAATTTTGCCCATTCTTTTTTAAAGTTGCTTTAATAAAGTAAGTTAATCAATACGGAGTACCCGCACCAATTAATACGGCACATGTGAAAAAAGTGTGCAATAATAATATTAATGCACTCTGTAGTCTGTATACTCTGTAACCTACTTACATTGCAATCGATTTTGCATTTGAAAACTTTTGTAATGTCATGTTTGGTCTAAATGTAATTATATTTAAAATTATTTTTGATAATCTGAAAACTCCGTTTGATTTCCTTTTCTTCACTTAAAGAGAAGGAAAATTATTTTCTTTTTTCTTAGTGCAACTCTTCTACTAGTACTATTATTGTTTCCTTCCACTTTATTTTCTTTTCCTCTCTAACTAAGCACAAATGATTGTTTCATCCATCGTTCTCTTTCATTTTTTCCTTTTAAATTCTTTGAACCAAACATAGAATTAATGGATCAAATAAAAAGGAAACATCAAAAGTACTACACATCATTCTCTTTTATTTTTCCTTTCAATTCTTTGAACCAAACATAGCGGGAATGGATCAAATAAAAGGGAGAATGGAACTCACTTAGAGTAGAGAGAGATCATCTTGTACCCGATGATATAAATAAACATACAAGTGTATATATGGTACATTGCCCATGAGATGACTTGCAACAGCTTGCAAGACAATCCATTACATACAACAATAAGCATTACAAACTGCTACTTCTACTACTAATACATGGTATAATACTACACACACAGACTTTATTCCAAGCTTACGCCGGGGAAAGTCCCTAGAGTCTCGTAGAACCACCCCCCATCCCTCCCCGGGTGACCATTAACCCGGAAAAAAAAACAAAAAAAAACATTCCACATGAGAGAGATATCGAGGTCTGATTGTACCGTGGGATCGGAGTTAAATTATTCAGCCACTCCGTTACTGACTCCAGCTTGTTCGCACAGATCCAGCACATCTAGTGTCTGCAAACACAAAAAGTACGCTAGCCGGTTAAGACAATTTCGGACAAGGTTATGTTTTATTGGGAACTAATTGAATGAAATAGACCCTTTTCAACAGAAAGAAGACAATGATTACTAAGAAAAATGATACATGGACCAAGAAGAATGATACAGAGTATACAGAGGCCCAAACTTGAGGAGAAAAACGTCAATAAAGCACTCCTAAAATTACTCTAAAAAGAAATTGGGCAAAATACAATGGGTATGGTCTAAAAAGAAATATTGGACCAAATACATAAGAATTGAGGGAGTGTAGCATCAAAAAGATATGAATTAAATGTACAATAATTTTTTTTATCTTCACTCTACATCCAGATGAGTCTAGCTACTCTAAAGAGTGTCCCAACCCATAATGGGTTGAATTTGGCATGTCCATATGTAAGTAGACAGAATTTTGTCTTACCTCGGGTACTGACAGCTCAAGACGAAACTTTGGGCCATCATAATGGTGCAAGACTGGTCTAAAAGCATCCTCTTCTAGTGGATTGCAGAGCTTCCTAATATGAATCCTTACCTAAATGTTGCAAGGGAGAAAACTTAAAAAATCAATATGAGTTGCCAAAACATATCTCATATGAATTCATATCTGAATAGAGATAGATGCTGATTTGAATGGGGTGAAATGTAACTCTACCTGAGCAGGGAATCTTGATTCTCCCTTGAACTTTTTATCTTCCCAAGCAGTAGGGTCAATGTTGGAACCCCCAAAACTTGCTGCCTGTTTTAAGTAAACATTTCAAAGCCTTGGTGAGAAATTCAAACAAACACACCATAGTAGATAGCTATGATGATGAATGACGGTTGGAAAGGCATCCATAGTAAATACGTTGCCACCTTGTATGTTTGCACAAATTTATAGTATTAACTGATTTAATTGAGACAATAAATGGCATGCCACAAACCCAAAAAGTTAGGATTACAGTGGTAATGATGATGACCATAGTAGATAGCTGAAAGAATCAAATTTGTTTCTGTCTTAAATAAAATTTATTTTATGACTTCAATGACTTTGAAGCTCTAACCACACTGGCAAACTAGGTTTAGACATGGGCAAAAGCTTTACAAGATAGTAATACCAGAACATACCTCGAATATACCATGCAACTGGTGAGTGGTATAATTATACAGAAACAAAGGTAATCCCGGTGTAATTGCCCTGACAGAGTCTCTGTACCTTGGTGGTAGTCCTGAAAAAAGAACAAAAAATTAACCACTACAATCTACAATAGATATAACTGTTTCAAGAAAATAAGGCATTTTCCACAAAAGTCTAAAAATCCAGGAAAACATAGTCCTCCACTGATTTTTTTTCTGGTGAGAACGCATAAAAAGCCAAACCAAACGGAGCCTTATTCTCAGTTTTTTCATCTTAATTTATGATAGTAAATAGTAATGAGATTTTCAGATACTGTGATTTCCAGTAACCTTCAATTCACACTTCGCTTGACTGATATCTAGGCATAAAAATAGATAAATAAATAAATAAATACATGAATAAAATCCATGTACAGGTAGGAGGCGAGTGGAAAGAAAAATTATTACCAAAGAGCTGTCGCTTCAAATCCTCTTGCATAGTGTCATTATTGCAAACAAAGATGTATCCACCAAGCACCTCATTCCTTGGAAGTGTCTCTGCAGCCGGCAAGGTCTTAAACCTCTTATCCACACCAACATTGGAACTCACAATTTCATTGTTGTTGTTGAGATCCTTGTTGTTCATGTTCATGTGGTTGAACTTGCTACCAGACATATTTCCAAGAGTGGTGACGTTAGGCTTATGGTACATGGTGGTTAAATTGAA